GGGGGGGGGGGGTGCAGACTTGGGCCTGGGCACCAGGACATGAAGGGGGATTCAGAGCATAGGCCCAGGAGGGTTGTGAGGAGGGGCAGTGAGTGGGGGGGGGGGGGTTATGTCTTACCTGTCTCGGGGGTCCTGGCTCCTGCCCGGCTGTCGGTGATGTGGGGTGGCTGCTGAGGGAGGGCTTGGGCTGCAGGGGCTCACGGCCCCCAAAGCGGTCACAGGAGTAGAAGCGCTGCTTCTCCGAGGAGGAGGAAGAGGGCTGCCTCCGCTCTTGGGACCGGCCACGCTCCTGCCTACGCTCCCGCCGGCAGCCTGTGGGCCCCTCTCCCGGGGGTGGCCCCGGCCCTGCAGCACTGCTGGGTGCTGGCCAGGAAGAGGAGAAATCAGCACAGAGAGCCAGGTTGGGAGACAGACTCCCCTCCACCCCAGACCTGGTCCCCAGGGCCAGCAGGGGGACCCAGGGAAGAGCTGAGGTGGGTGGGTGGTCCTGCCTAGGACTCGCCACCCCCTACTCCGGGTTGCTTGTACGTGAGGCAAAAAAAGGAACACGGTCTCAGACCCCTGCCTCAGGCCATGGCCACTCAGGGGACCCCTCTCACGCACCGCCATCTGCGTCTGCGGACAGGCTGGGCCCTTTCTCCAGGGACTTCTGCTTCCTGTCCCTGCGGCGGTGGCAGCGGTGGTGGTGGTGGGGCACAGCCTGGCTGGCTGGGGCGCGGTCCAGGGCAGCGTTGCAGAGATGAGCCACATGGGGGCGCTGGGGCGCCAGCGTGGAGATGGAGCGCTTCATGGGGCTGGCGTCAGGGGCCGGCTGCGGGCGGGCAGGACATGGGTTGGCACACAGCCTGCGAGGGGGACCTGGGGCAGGCTCCAGGGTGGCTGGCAGCAGCCATGGCACTCCCTCTCTCGGGAAAGTTCTTCCCCACCGAATCCCACCCTTTCTCTCAGAGCACACTGCACAAGGTGCTCTCTGTGTCTGCCAGGCCGGGCAGGGCCCAGGCAGCCTGTTGGCCTCAGCATCCCTGGCGGACAGGGAGGATGCCAGGAAGAGGGAGGCTGTGGGCCTGGCTGGAAGAACCCTGAGGACCGGCTGAGTGTGAGGGCTCAGCTGGCCCAGGGCCATGAGGCTGCTTGCCCCAGGGCTGAAATCAGGACCTGCGGAAATGCGCCCTCCAAGTAGAGCTGATCCACAGCCCCTGCTGGGTGTCCTCAAGTTGGATGGATGCCCAGCTGGCCAGGATCAGGAAGGGGAAAAGGACAGGAGCCACCACCAGTGGGAGGCAAAGACAAGTTTCGAGAACGAAAGTCAATTTAGATGCGTAGAACCAGGAACCACAAAAGGAGGCAGGAATAGAGCCAGCCCCGGGGAAACACCAAAGGTCATGTCCCTTCAGAGGCCCTCACCCTCCCAGCAAGTGAAAGAAGAGCCCCTTGACACAGCCTCAGGTCTGCAGACCCCTCTCTGAGACCTTGTGAAAGGGCCCACAGCCTCCCTGCCCTGGAGCTTCCTGCTCCATAGTCAAAGCATCCCAGAAGGAGCGGGGGGGGGGGGGGCGGGGCGGGCGGTGCCACCTCCAGTGTCTAGAGAAAAAGCAGGGCAGGTCACCCTTGGAGGCTCAAGGGGAAATAGGGAGGACCAAGGTGTGAGGTACTGTGTGCATTTGGGGGGGAAGGTGCGGGCTGGGGTGGGAGAGGTATGTCCTAGAGAGAGGTAAAGGCTGGGTCAGGGACACAGGGCTGGAGGGTGGAGGCCCCAGTGCCCTGACGGGAGGCTGAACACAAGTGAGCGGTGGGGACTCTTGGCCTCAATGGAATCTGGCTGAACGTCTTGAGACCATCACGGCGTTCTGGGAGGACCCAACAGGGCTGACAGTGCCCACGCTGTAGCACAGGTGGGGAGGCTTCGCATGGGACACAAGCCCTCCCTATGCCAGGTCTCCTCATGCCCCAGTCCCCAACCCTCCCACGACCCTGACCCTCCAAGACTACCCACCTGGGTCTCTGCAGCCAGGCGGGGCATGGAGGCCGCTCGTCCCTGACTCTCCAGCCCAGGTTGGGGCTCCCCGTCAGGACCTCTCAGGGCCATGCTCTGCATCTGGACATCAACAGCCTGGGCATACAGCAGCCCACAGTCACACCCACCTCCCCTCCACTCTCACCTTCTCCCCCACACCATTCCTGCCATCTACCACCATCCCTGTCTCACCCCCCATCCCCAGCCTCAATACCTAGCCCTGAGAGCCCTCACCGGTTTTCCTGGATGCACCGCCGGGATCTCTGTAGAGTGGCCACGCTCCAGGGGTGTCCTTGCCTCATAGGGTACCTCCTGGGTCCTCTGAGTGCCCCAGGAGACAGACTCCTTGATGCCACTCTCTTGGGTTTGTCTGTGAAGAGAGGACTGTCCTGTTGCCTAAGAAGTCTATGGGGCACCACATGCCCACCAAGGACCTGGCTCTGACCCGCCAGGAGCCTACACTGGCCCTTTCTGCTCTGGGCTAGAGGAATCCCAGAGCCATAAAGCCCCTCAAGTGCAGGCACTCTCCAGTGGCTGCAAAACAAGGGACGTGGACCCAGGTCCAGGGCTTAGAGCAGGCAGGAACAGAGGGAAGTCTGGGCCCACAACTTCCTGGCCTGTGGACAAGCAGCAGGTTCCTCAGCCCTAGACGGGGCCTCACATGTGTAGTGGGAGCATGAATGGCATTTGGCCAGGACAAGGCCACATGTGTATGTGATGTATTGTAGTAAGGACATCCTGCCTCTGCTGGCCCTCGGCTCCCTCCTGAGGGTTCCTCCTGTTCCTCACCTCCAAATTCACTGCCACCTCCCTGCTTCCCCAACCTCCAGCCATGGAGGCCTTTCTGCCCTTCAGATCTAGTGTCACATTTTGGAGGAGGCCTTCCCCAGTCCATGTACTCCACCTCACTCTATCGGTGTACATCTCCCACGTGGCATCGAAACTGACCAGCATTGGCCTGGATTACTGCTTGTTCCCATGTCCAGTGAAGCAATGGAAACACTCTCACTCACACAGGTCGCATGGCATCAATCACACTCTGAGCTCTGAGATGGAGTCTGCTGGCCTCAGCTGGCCACACTGATAACAGGCATCTACCCTGTGGTGTGCTATTTGGAGCTGCTGCTGCCTTGGGGATGGCTGCCCCTGTCAGGAGGCCCAGTCAGGAGAATGGAAGCTGGACCTCCAGGCCTTGTGACCCCTGAGGTCACTCCGTGCGGAAGCCAGCTGCACGCGTACCAGCATCAGACGGCACAGTAAATGCCCCAACTGCCTGGTCCAGGCTGACTGGGTACTGGCTCACTTGCAATAAAAGGGAGTGGTAGCTGATTCTATAAAAATTAGAACCATGAAAATAAGTAACATTCATTTTTCCTGAACTGAAATCTGGCTTAGAACGATCCAGAAAGACATCTCATGGGTCCACCAGGCCCAGGCGAGCTAGCCCGGGCCCGGGACCCAGGAGCTGCCAAGCTGGCCCCTGAATGGGAGAAGTAACACACCACTAAGTTATAGCAGTTTATTCCTCAGCAAAACCTACCTGATTAACACTCCATGACCCACAACCAGGCTTCAGAAAAGAAGGTCCAAAACATGTCCAGGAGAGGAAGACATTGGGAGCTCTCACCATGCATGCTGTGCCCGGGCTGGTATAGGCCCCGCACCTCAGCCCTTGCTCAGTGACGCAGAGCTCATGTCCCACTGTGCGCTCGGCCACTGATTTGCTTTGGCCAATGAGATGGCCAGGCCCAACCTGCCTGCCAGGTGCCACCTTTCAGCGCTCCACGGTGCAAGAAAGGTGACTGTTATAACACTTGGTTTTGGGTGGTTCAATACCAAGAATTACTACAGCAAGAGTTAGGGGATAGGTGAAAAGGATATTAACAATTTGCCTACAAAATATAGTTGTTTCAGAAATCACTACCAGAATGGAGATATGAGAGGGAAAATGTCTCAGAGGAGTTCGAAAGTTGAGAACACGAATAGGCCATCAACAGACAGGGGTGAGGACTGAGGAGGAAACAAAAAATTTCGCAGTGGTCGGCAGGCACCGAAGGCCAGGGAGGAAGCAAAGGCTCCTCACTGGAAAGACAAATGGGCACGAACAGCGGGAGGTGACTGGGAATCATCAGCTGTCTAAATCCTTGGGCCTCGGTGCTGTCAGAGGCACCCACTTAACACTTCAGGAATGAGCTTTGGAGTCCACCACAGAGACCGCTCCAGCAGCAGAGCAGGACAAGCTCTCAGGCAGCACCATCTGGTGGGAGGTGGGTGCAGGGTGGATGGTAGAGCTGATCCCCCCAAAGGGGCGATGGGACAAGGGCTCCCTGTCCTGAAGCACTGCCTACAAGGAGCCCCTCTGAGAGGTGGAGGACCTTCCTCCCTGCACCGCACACCCTGGGGCCTGGTACTCACACTGCCCCACCGTTGCTGAGGGACGCAGAGCTCTTCTGCCGAAGGAACACCCGCGCTCCTCGGAGCACGGCCGGCTGTGTCTGCTCCAGGGTGGCCTTCAGAGGGTGGAAGAGGGACACAGGGCCCATCTGCACAAGGGACACAAAGAAGAGGAAGAGCTCTAGGGCAGAGGCGGGTGCCCCAGAAAGCTGCCCTGAGCCCACAACATGGCTTGTGGCTCCTTCTGCCCTACCCCCAGCCCTCTGAGGGCTGCCATATGAGGCAGGCTTACTCCAAACCCGGACTGTGAGTGACTTCAGAAAAGTAATTTCACTTCTTGGAGCCTCTGCTTCCCTACCTACAAAATCTGAAGACTACATCCAATTACAAATGGTAAAAAGACCTCATCTCATCATCAAAGTGGATTGACAGAGGCTGCATAAGCCCCAGATTCCCATTCCCAAGGTGGGTGAATGTCCCTATAAGCTCTGGACACCAGATGGACACTTTCTAGACAGAGAGTCTGCATGTGGTCACTGATATTTTGGCTGTGTGGGAAAGTTGTTATCTTTGATGGATGACATTGGGAAGATGGGCCCCCAAACCAGCTCAGTCAGAGTCATGAGTGGAAGAAATCATGACCCAGGACCCATCAGTTTAAATCTCTCTGGTCCCTGCCTGTGTGTAGGGACTTCCTCAAACCTCCTCCTCAAGCATTCTTCAAACTTCTTTCCTCTACCACTTAAAAAAGTGGTATCTCAGGGGATTCTGTTCTCAGCCCCTTTTCTGTTCCTGAACACTAGCTCTCAAGTCAGGGGATCCCCAGTACCAGCAAGAGACCAGCCATTGGGAAGAATACAGGCTGTATGGAGCTTCTGACTTTGGGGCCAGAGAGCGGAGGCGGCTGCAGAAACCTCTCATCTTCCTTTTCCCGCTGTGCAATCTCCAAGAAGGGTGTGGGTTCCCTCGCTGTCAAACAACTGAAGGGTGCCAGAGCCTCAGATTTACTTCTTGGAAATCTTGGAACCTGATACCTGGGATAGGCCTCCAGTGGCCTGGTGAATCTGGTCTCTGGTGGTCTTGTTCTGTTTGTAGAAGTCAAATATCATCAGAGCTGCATAGACTTTCCCCACTGTCATCTCGTCAGCTGGAAGGAGAGAAAATAGAGGATGGAATCTAAAGGAGGAAGGCAGGGTGGAGTGCGCTGAGGAAACAGCTCCCGCCACACGGACTCCTGGACACACTCAGACAGAAGCACAGGGCTTGGCCAAAGCTGCACAGTCCCCACATGGAGCTTCCTGACACAGCACATAAGCCCTGGAGCTGCACTGACTGTCTCCACAGGGCCCTCAATCTCCTCCCAAAAGAGTGGATGTGGAGTTTAATCTTTAAGCACATCGTCCTTTTTGGCATCTCTGACTGTAGGAGTCTCCCTGCTTTTCCCTGCGCTTTTTGACATATACACCCCACCAGGAGTGTGGGTGGCTGTGGCCACAGAATAAATCCCAGGTCACCCCCTCCCACAGCCCCTGTGCACTCACTTGTAAGACTCTTTTCCCTGCAGGTGGAAACAAAGTCTAGACTATCTACAAGGCTGCCCTGGCCCAGGCCTCCCAGCTCTGCCTCTGGGTGGGACACGAAGGGGGCATGAGGATGGGGAATTTCCTGCCTTCACTTACGTTTATGAGGTGGCACCAGTAAATCCAGGGTCTTCTGGGGCAGATTGGCCCACACGGAGGAAATCTCCTTCCTCAACTCTGCATCACACTGATGCTGCTTTGTGCCAGCTAGGATGGGACAAGGGTGTGGAGGAGAAGAAATATATAAGGAGCTATCCCATAGCCCCCTTGGGGAAGCAGGCCAAGCTGGGGCAGGCGGGGAGAGGTGTGGTGTGGGGAGGGATGTGGGGCAAACACAATGCTAGGAGAAAGGCCAAGCGGGAAGAAACACCATCATGGCGGCTGTCAGAGCTCCTCCTGCCGGAAACCTGCCTACAGACAGAGGCACGTGTGTGTGTGTAGGCCCTGGGAGCCGAGACGGAATTCGGAATTCGGTGGCAGTCCAGCCATTCATCCACCCATGCATCCACCCATTCAGAACTACTGAGGGAACACCCACCACATGCCAGGTACTGTTCTAGGTGATGGAACAAAAACAAAGGAGCTTTCTTTGTGGCATGATGTGGCTTTCATTAACAATAAAGTGGCAGTAAGTTAAAATCCAGTTATGTTGGGTGCAGGAAAAGCCAAGGAGGGAGGGATTTGGGACATGGTAGTCAGGAAAGGTCTCATGAGAAGGTGGCATGTATGTAAGACCCTGTAGGCAGGAAGGCATGAGGCAGTGCAAAGGCCTTAGTGTGTTACACAATGAGCCAGGACAACAAGGCTCATGGTGGGGTGGGGGTGGGGGGGCAGGGAATGCAAGGGAGCGGATGTTGAGATGGGATGCAGCAGAGGGGGCTGAACAGAGGGATAGAATACTCGGGTTTATCTTTTTTTTTTTTTTTTTTTTTTTAACAATCAGGTTTATTATGGTATAACATACATACAATGAAATTCACCCTTTTTAGTCATCCCATTCTGTGAATTTTGGTAGATGCCTAAAACCATGTATCCACAATAGAGACATGGTACACGCACCACTGCCAAAGTTCCTCTGTTTGATCCCTTTGTAGCTGACCCCTTATCCTCTTCCCATCCATCCCATCGCTGATGTGTTTTCAGTCTTGGTTGTTTTGCCTTCTCCAGAATGTCACACAAACAACATCATCGGTGGTGTATTGGCTTTTGAGTAGGGCTTTTTCTACTCAGCATGATGCATATAGATCCATCCATGTTGCTGAATGTATCAGAAGTCTGTTTCTTTTGAATGCTGAGTACTACCTCATTGTACAGATAGTCCACAGTTTGTTTATCCATTCACCAGTTGTGGACATTTGAGTTGCTTACATTTTGAGGTGATTATGAAATAAAGCTGTAAACATTTGCTTATATGTTTTTTTATGTAGGTGTAGGGTTTTTTTGTATGTATGCCCTCATTGTGACTGTATTTGGAGACAAGGCCTAGAAGAGATAATTAAGGTGAAATGAAGTCATAAGGGTGGGGCCCTGACCCATATTTAGTGTCCTTATAAGAAGAGACACCAGAAAATTCGCTCACTCTCTGCACGCACTCAAGGAAAGACCACATGAGCACACGGTGAGACGGTGACCAGGCCCCACAATGAAACCTATCTTCCAGCACCTTGATTTGGACGTTCAGCTTCCAGACGGTGAGACATAAATTTCTGTGTTTAAGCCACTGAGTTATAGTATTTTGTTAGGGCAACGCAAGCAGACCAAGATACTAAATGTCAAGATGTCTCTCCTTTTTTTAGCATATAGTTGTCTATATTTTTCCAGTACCATTTGTTGAACTAATTATCTTTTCTCCATTAATCGCCTCTACAACTTACCAAAAACCCATTGAAATGTGAGGGTGAGTCTCTATGTGTTGCAATGACTTATGTCTCTGTCCTGTCACTAACACTACACACTTTGATTAACATGCTTCATACAAAGTATTTGATTCAGGTACAGTGAATTTTCCAACTTTGTTCTTCTTTCAAAATTGTTTGCTACTCAAGGTCTTTTGCTTTTCTACACACATTTCAGAGTCAATTTGGACATTTCTACCTAAAAAGGCTGCAAGGATTTTGACTGGGTTAACATTTATTCTATTGTTCAATATGGGAAGAACTGACATCATGAAAATATGGAGTCTTCCAATGCATGAAGATGAGGCAGTGCTTGATTTATTTAGGTCTTCTTTGATTCCTTCAGTCAATGTTCTGAAATCTGCCACATACAAATCTCACATATATACTTTTTAGAGTTATACAGCAACACAGAAGTATCTCATGTTTTTGGTGCAAATTTAATGGAAATTTTTTCCATTCCAATTCCTAATTGCTAATATATAGAAACACATTTACTTTGTATGTATTGATCTTGTATCCTGTGACTTTGCTATACTTGTGTTATTGGTTTTAGAAACTTTTGTTTACTGGCTTGAAACAATAGGGATTTATTATTTCAGTTCTGGAGGCCAGAAGCTCAAAAGCAAGGTATCCACATCACTGCGGGCGCCCCCCCCCCCAATGTTCTGATGAAGAATCCTTCCTTGCCTGTTTCTAGATGTTGGTGGTTCCCAGCCATCCTTGACATTCCTTGGCTTGCAGATGCTTCTGTTTTATTAACTTTTTATTAGAGTCTTTCACATCTTCTCCATTGATGATCGCATCAATTGTGAATAGAGGCAGTTTTATTTCTTCCCTTCCAATTGGTATGCCTCCTATTTCTTTTTCTTAACTAATTACAATGGCAAAAACCTAAAGTATGATGTTGAACAAGAATGGTCACAGTAGACATCCTTCCTTTGTTCTTGATCTTAGGGGGAACAGAGTCAGTCTTTGTTAAGTGTGTCAATCACTGAAAGTTTTTCATAAATATCCTTGATCAGATTGAGGGTGTTTCCTTTCATTTCTAGTCTATGCAGAATTTTCACAATCATGAATAGATATTTAATTTTATGAAATGCTTTTTCTGTATCTATTGAGATGGTTAGTTTTACTTCTTTGACATGTTAAATTACATGGATTAATTTTTAAACTTGAACTCAACTTGCATTCCTGGGATAAACTCTACTTTGTCATCACACAAATACACACACACACACACACACACACACACACACACACACACAAACATAGCTACATTCAATTTGCTAAAATCGTGTTGAATATTTTTGTGCCTATAGTCATGAGGGATGTTGATCTGAAATTTTCTTTTCTTATAATATCTTTGTCTAGTCTTGGTATCAGAATCATGTCAGCAGCATACAGTAAGTTGAGAAATATCTTCTCTTTTTCTATTTTCTGGAAGAGTTTATAGAGAATTGGTATTATTTCTTCCTTAAATGTTTGGTAGGCTTCACCTATGGACCTAACTGGGCCTGGGATTTTTTTGGTTGGAAGGCTTTTAACTAGAATTTAATTTCTTTAATAAATATAGTGCTACTCAGATTCTCTCTTCCTTTTTTTTAACCCGCTCAGGTTATCTATTCTTGAATGAGCTTGATAGTTTGTGTCAACAAATTTTTCCATTTCATTTAAGTTGCTGAAGTTATCGAGTGTTATGTTGAAGGCAGACAAGGGCAGAAGCAGACCAGTGGGCAGCTACTGCCACAATCTAGTCAAGACCCAAGAGAACATGGCTTGGACCAGGAGCTGGCAGTGGGAGAGGGCAAAAAAGCGATCATGTTCTGGTGTATTTTGAAGGTAGAGTCAGAAGATATGACAAGAGATCAGATATGGATCAGAACTGGAGTAAGGGGTGGGGGGGGGAGGGGAAGAGGAGGTAAGAATCACTATAAAGGTTTTGGCTTGAGTGACTAACAGGAAGAACAGAGTTGCCACCGACGGAGGTGGGAAAGACCAGGGGGAATATGTGGCACTCAAGATTGGCCACAGGGACTTTGTAGTGTTTACTGGGCCTCCAAGTGGAGACAGTAAATAACTTCCCTCACGTAACTCCTCGCATGACAACACATGTCTGGAGTTGGGACTAAAAACCCAAATGTTGGAATTCACAATATTTAGAGCCGTGAGAGTAGACAGAATGACAACGGTGGCAAAGAGAACAGTCTGATGTGCACAGTGACATTCAGACAGTGGGAGACAAGAGAAAACAGAACAAGAAACATCAAAGGGGTTCAAAAAGAAGTAAGTGACAGCAGAGGAAAGGCTGCTGATAAGTAAGTAAGATAAGGGCTGAGCACATGGAGGTCACTGGAGAGCTTAACACGAGCAGTTCACTATTGCAGTGAAAGCCCGACTGCAGCCTGAAAAAGAGACATCAGAGAGGCAATACAGACCAGTCTCTCAAGGAGCTGGTTGTGATAAAGGAAAAAATACAAATAGGGAAGCTAATGGAGGGGGAAGAAAACCTTTTAAAGATGGGAGAGATGTCGATACAAATAATCTAATATAGCGAAAAAATGGACGAGACAAGAAGCAGGGTACAGAATTTCTGGCTTGACATCTTTGGGGAGATGAGGAGAAGGTAGGGACAGGCCCTGACTCATCCATTACAAACAAAGAGGCTGAGCTCAAGGGCACAGGTGCAGCCAGGAGGGCAGTGTGGGGTAGGGATGGTGCAGATCCCCTCTGGTGGCTCTAATTTTCTCTGTGAAGATAAAGCAGTCATCATACGAAGGTGAAGGTGGAGAGGACACACTAGAGTTTGTTCTCCCCTAGATTTGGCACAGACTATGTGGTCCTGTCGGTTAGCTCAGGAGAGGACCTGACAGGGACTGGGCTCACTACGGTGAGTGGGCAGAAGGCACACAGACTCTTCACCCTGGAAGGGTACCGGCTCATGTAAACCTGGGCCAGGTTATGTTCTGGTTCTAACACACTCTAGCTCTGGGTAACCCGGACAAGTCATTTAATCTCACGGCACCTCAGATCCCTCAAAGGAAAATGGGATCATTAAAATGCTCACATGCAGAATGGTTATCAGGGGATAAAGTCAGTGTCCGACCGAGGTGCCATGGGCAGCTGTCTTCAGTCCGCTCCAGACAAGCCCCCTCACCCCCCTCCCTGCATGCCCACCTGCGGGTGGCTCTGAAGTGCATTGCCCAGCCCTGGCTTGGTGCCCTCCCCAGATGCTGCCTTGCTCACCTGGAGCCAGCTTGATCTCCAGTGCGGTCCGAATGAGGGCCATCAGCGTGGACGTGAAGTGGACAGTCATGTCCTCATTGGAGATGGGCATGTTCATGCGAACCAGGCGCTAGGGACAAGGGGAGCAGGTCAGGGCCAGGCCTACGGGGGTCCCTCCGCCACAGGACTACAAGGTGCTCAAAGCCCCTAGAGGCTGGGCTTGGCCTCCTGGAAGTAGCTTCTGCAGGTGCCTAGGGCCAAGCAAGGTTGGGTGGCTGGGAGTTTTGCCAGCATTCACACTCACCCTTGGATCCCCACCCTCATCTGAGCTGAAGATTCTCCTAGCTGCAGAAAAGTAGAAGTACAGATAAGGATTGTAGCATGGGGCCAAGCCAGAAGCCTGGATCCCTCTGAAAGAACAGGTACATGCTTAGCCGGAAGGACCCCTGCCCAAGGCATATGGCCTGGGATGAAGAGGGAGGAGTCTGGGCTGCAGAACTGAGGCTGGGCCCTGGGAGAGCCCACAAACAGGAGGGAGGATCCCTGCCCTTACGGCTCTGCCCAATGTCATGTCCTCCACCCACAGCCTAGAGCACTGGACAAGGGGTGGGATGGCCAAGAGCACGGCTCTGAGCTCCACCTCCCAGTGAGGCATCCCTCCACCCCAGGAAGACTTCTGTCCCTCACCACCCAGCCAGGGGGCCTGGAAGAGATGTCTGCTGCCACTCGCCCAAAGCAGCTAGCACCTTGCAGTCAGAAGGACCCAGAACAGATGGGACCGCACAAGGCCAGTGTGAAGGCTGGCAGGAAGCAGCTCAGGGCCATCGCACTGGTACTCTGGACCAGACTGCTTCTTTGTTACCTGTCTCCTCTTCCCTCTCCTCATTTTTCAAGGACAGAACAGCTGGAGACAGACATGTGTCTATACCACAGACCTCTGGATATAGCCAGCAGCTGCCCAGAACCTGAGGCTCTGAGAACTTATGTGATCTCCAGGAGCAAAAGTATCCCTCGTGTGTCTGGAACGTCCTCAGCATGGGAGGTCACTTAGCTGGCCAGGCGGAGCCCTAGGGACACTGTGACCCTCCTGTCTTCTCCCAGCAGCCTCTTGTCCTCTACCACATGACAGAACTAGAGACAGAGGCACAGGGCCCCTCTCTGGGGTCTGCCTGCCCTCTGCCAAGCCTGTATCCTGTGACACACAGCCTCTCTTTCCCTCTGGGTTGGGCCCCCCGCCCTGCCCCCAGTGTCTTGGCCCCAAATCCAATCTTCAGTCTAACAGAGAGAGTGGGTGGCTAGAGACAATAGCCCGGACTCTTCCCCCGCCCCAACACACACACCCCGAATGCTGGCAAAGCCCCACCTGGCACATCCAATCATGGTCCCAGGACCTCACACATCACCCGTGTGATGCACACCAGGAAAATCGACTTTCCAGAGCACAGTGTCCCTGCAGACCAGCACTGATGGCATTAGAAGAGGCAGAGGGACTCCTCTCCAGGGGAGTCAAGGAGTTAGGTTCCAGCATGAAGGAGAAGCAAGTAGGTGATTTCCAAGAGAAGAGAGCTCTGTCCAGGGCACCTTCACCAGAGGCTCTCCTCTGCCTGCCTAGGCCCTAGAAGGGCAAGGCCAAGGCAAACAGACAGGCATCTCCACACTGGGCCTAGACCCTCGTGGTCACAGCACTCTGTGCATCTCCTGGACTCTCGCCAGCTCCCCAAGCCCATCCATTCCTACCCACCCCAGGACTCCCCTGGTCTATTCATGACCAGAACCTCAGAGCTGGCCAGCACAGCTGGGGAAGGGCCCTAAAGGCCAGCCCATCAGGGCCCTGCATGCCCAACCTGGCCCCAGGTATCAGTGTGGACAGAACTCTCCTTCTTGGGGACAAAGCTAGAGCCTTGCAGGCAGGTACAACATGCATGCCAGGCAGGGGAGGGCAAGGAAGACATCAGAGGCATCTGTCTGTGGCGTGAAGGAGCCACTTAGCTTCCAAAGGCTGTGCTGAGCCAGGTGACAGATGCATGCCCAGATTCAGAGCACAGAGACAGACAACATGGACAGAACCAGAGAGATGAAAGTTCTGGTGGGAAGCTTGCTCAGAGAGAGGGTGGTGACAGGGAGGCTCTGGACACATGCTGGTGGAGCAGTAGAACCTGGGGCCGGCTCTGTTTTCTGGGAGCACTGGGGACAGCAGGAGGGGTGGGGGTGGGGGTGCTGGAGGGATGGAAGGTGCTTACACCAAGGGTGGGGGGGTGACTGAGGGCACATGGGCAAGTGGGAGCAGGCTTGGGGCTGGGCCATGTGACTTGCTTGCCCCCCAGGAGGGAAGCCTGGAGGTGTCCCTCAGTTTACCCCTTCTTTGCAACTCAGCCTCCTGGGAGAGGGGCATGGGACTACCTGGGCCCCTGAAACTGTCCTTACTCTGCTGCAGCCCTCTGAAGCCCCAGGAATGACAGAAGGACATCTCTCCCTGGCACCCTTTCCTTCCTAATACCACAGTGCCTCCTTCCCACTGTGAAACCTACAAACCCCTGGAGATGCCCAGGCCTGGGGAAATTCTGCATGTGCTGAGCTGGGAGTGGGTTCTTCAGGTGTCCCAGAGGCCCTTCACGCCCCTATTCCACCAGGGTCAGACCCTGAGGGCTGGTTAATTCCACTGGAGCTGAGTGCGGTCCTGAGCCCAGAGCAAAAACAGCTTCTGTCAAAAAGCTGGTCTGTCTCCTAATTCCCAGGAAAGAGAAGGAAAGGGAAAAAGGCAGGTGGAGGGCTCTGGTTCCTGAGCCTTTTGCGGGGCTCTCAGAGGGGGCAGACCTGTAGGGACAAGGGCCGGGTGTACCATCATGGTATCTGTGTCCCTCTGTCCAGGAAGGTAGAGGAGATGGTTGGAGCAGAGAAAAGGAAGAAACAGTGAGACAGCAGAGCAGCAGACAGACGGACAAGCCCGAGAGGAGACGGGAGACCAGCCCCAGCACAGCCAGCCTCCAGGGTGCAGGGTCGGGGTCTACCTTGTATGCAACTCGAGCAGGGCATTTCTTCCCCAGCCCCAGGGGCGGGGACATGTGTTTCAGCATCTCAAACATGTCATTGTAACTGATGCGCCCACTGGAGACCCGGCCCAGAGAGGCAGAGGCAGAGTGGGGTCCACAGGAGGGGTGCGGCAAGAGGGGGCGGGGGGAGGAAGCAGACAAGAAAACAGATCCAGTTAACCAGCGTCAGATTAAATGCCAAAGTCAAAATACGTAAAATGAGGGACTTTTCTGCTTGACTCGATCCCCTCCTTGCCCCCCCCAGCCTCACCTCCACACTCCAGCCCCACGCAGGGCAGCGGGCAGGGGTGACGTCTGAGCTAATGAACATGGAGGGATGAGGAAGGGCTGCATCGGGGCGGCTTTGGGTTGTCAACTTCCGATTTTACACTTTTAGAAACCACAGATAATGCCAAATCAGAAAAGAGCTGTTTCACCATGCCGGGAGAGCTGGTAGACAGAATTACATGACCGATGAGGCCGGCCTAAGAACCACGGCAGAAATATCAGCTTTCCTTAATGCTCAATTTGCTTCAAAGTTAGCCTAGAGGCTAAAAAAGCGGAGAAAAATCTAAAACAAGCCAGAAAACTAGAGCGAGAGCCACGCTGTTCTGCAAGGAGTCCCGAGGCTCTAGAGACAAACTTGAAGGGTGAGTCCTGCTCCAAGCCCAGAGACGCCCGAGGCCGCCCAGGGCAGGGCTGCTGCTGGGAGTCAGGGCTGGGCAGGAAATGGGAGATTGCGGGTGGGGGGGGGGTGAGGGTGGGGGTAGGGGGCAGGGGCGTGGTGGGCAGCTGGGGTGGGATGTGGCTTGGGGCCACTCTTGCACCCTCCTGACAGCACGCCAGGAACAGGGCTGGGGCCAACTAATGGGATAAGTCTCCAGGTCCAGGGAGGTGTCTGGGGGCTGACTATGCCTTCCCAAGGTAGACAGGCCACCAGGCCTGTCCCCATCAACCCTGGGGATACCCGCCTGTGGGACCTGCTTGGGGTCCCAGAGACGCAGTCGGGTTCAGGTCACCCAAGAGAGAAAAGGGGCCACTTTTCCTGGCAGGCGTGTCTGCCCCAGGGCCTGGCCCTCCTCCCAGGGTTCCCAGCCTTGGCTGAGTGAATCAATCCAGAGGTGAAGCAGGAGGGCCTGCCTTTGGGCCTCCACTGCCTCTGTCCTCTCCTCCCCCAGGGACCAGAAATCCCTGGGCTGTTGGGCTCTTCAGACTGGGAGGGGCAGCTGCTCCTCGTCTGCTGGTACCCCTGCTCCCCTCCTCTGGGGCCCTTGGCCTCGGGCCTGTCTGACCATTAGCACCCACTTGAGAGCCTGGAGGCAAAGCCGGGTAAGACAGCTGCTTCCTTGGCACAGGCAGGGCCTGGCCCCCGGCTCCCACCCAGTAGCCGACCCCTGCCCTCAAGGCCCAGCCAGAAAGCTTTGTGTGCGCTCCCTCAGAAGGCTGCCTCTCCCCAGCCAGCTGGAGGGGTCGGGAGATTAGATGAGGGACCAAAGCGTCCAGGAGGTTGGAGTGCGGGGCAGGGCAGGACAGGAGGAAAGAGAGGTGAGGTGTCGTCATTCCCAAACCAGGCAGGGAGTGTGTGCTGTGTTTGCATTTCGGGCAGGGAAGAGTATGTCGGATGGAGGCTCTGAAGTTGCAAACCTTGTAGGCCAACCTACGAGGGCAGTTCTTCCCTAAGCCAACGGGTGGCGCAATACAACGCAACAAACTGTACATATCCTTATAATGAATCCGGCAACTGGAAAGGAAATGTCACAGGTTATGGCAACCGAGGCACGATGAGCCCGTCCCGCCCGCCCGCCCAGCCTGCGACAGGAAGATGTGTCCTTGCACAGTCGTGGAGGAGGAGCCAGGCGGCTGGACAGGCAGCTCCCTGAAGGGAATCCTGGGGCTTGGAGAGCCTGGGAGGCTTGGCAATCCCAACACAATTTCCAGAGCCTGATGCAGGCAGGAGACACACCATACAGAACAAGTGCCGGCCCCTGTCCCAAGCCCCCACCGTGCACACACCAAAACCGCTGGTCCATCTCTCACGGGGCCTTGTTCACCCACCCGCTCTGGCAGCCCCTCCTCTTGCTCCCTGAGTGCCTGCAACCCCATGCCTGGCTCTCCTGACTGCCCCTGCCTCCTGAATCTCCTGGAATCTGGTGGTCCAGCTAAAGACTCCCTTGTCCCAGGGTGGGCACCCCGGCCAACACCAAATGTTTCTCTTTCCTGTACTGTGAACCTCCTCAGTCCAATCAGCTCCAAACAACTTCTGGAAAAGCGGAAAGAAGGAAGAAGCCCCACTCTGGCCTCACCCAAGGTGCTTCTAATTCCACTGGACCCAAAGGACCAGCCACAAAGGGGCTGGAAGCAGAGCAAAGCCCCCAGCCCCAATAATCACCCAGCCCAGTTCACAGCCTGTTCTTTGGTTCATCTTCTCTCTTCCGCCATCGAACCCCTCAGATGACACCAGATGTAAAGCAGGGGCATAATACTGTCACTCCAACTCAAAAACTGTCCTCACTGCCTACAAAACAAAGTCAAAGCTACTTGTGTATCCCAAATTTCAAGGCCTTCTCAACTTGTCCAAGCCCCACTTCCAGCCCCTTTGCAATGCGCTCTCTTCTCTGTCAGACACAGACCCCCTTCCCTTCACCCCTGCCCCTACCCCCATCTCTAGAGCTCAATCCTTTCTGCCCTCTTAAGTTTGGCTCAGATGCTACCTCCTCTGAGTCACCAGCCACACGGAGTCTCTCCCTCCTCAAATACCCCCCCGGCCTCACACTATGACTCCTCTGTTTTCCCACAGTCCCACTGGGCTCAATGTCCTGAGAGCACACACTTGCTTCACCTACAGGCCCCCAGTCCCCAGCACACGGCGGATGCTCAGGAATGTTGACTGGGCAGATGGACGAACATCGAGATGAAGTGACAGACTGCTCACAGAACGTGTGACTGTGATTCCCCTTTTGAGTCTCTACACTTCACCACCAAGCAAGGCAGAAGCAACATAGAGAATGGTTCGAGAAGGTGGCATCAGAAAGCAACAACCCCATGCCTTCTTCATCTCTCCACAGCATGTGTGCGCACGCACATGTGCACGTATATGCCCACGCACACGTGCATTCATACACATGCACACACACAAACATATATGCCCATGTGCACCCATGCACACGTGTGTCCACACACACGTACGCACAAACATGCGCTGCGTTCACACACTTGCACACAATCACACATGTGCATGCTTGCACACATACACACAAACCATGTGCATGCGAGCACACATGTATGTCTGCTGCGTACATGCATACACATGTGCTACATGTGTGCACAGACCTGTACACATACACACAAACACACCCATGCACACATGTATACACTTGTGCACACACTCACATAGCCACACAGGTGCAAATACACACATACACACCATATAAAAGCTTGGGAAATTTCACAAAGTTGTGTTATTTCTAAGTCTCTCCAGAGTGGCCACCTGGGATACAAAGATGACCACATCCTTGCATCTGCCAGGGAGGCTAGTGAAAGGTTCAAACCACCCTCTGTCCTACCAAGGATGTGGGTTCAGACTCCATCCACTCAGCTGCCTCTGCTGGGCCTTCCCCTGTCCCCGGCCATCTGGAGGCAAGTTGTTTTCAGCCCAGGCCACAGGTGGGAGCAACAAGTCTGAGTGTTAGTTGTGACTCACATCTGTGCTACTTGTGGACTGCGGTCTTGCGTGCTACTTCCCAGATGCCACCCCTGGGGTGAGCTTGTATCTGCTGTCTACTCTTCCATAAGCACTTTCTTTACTATGTTCCCAATCTCCCTTCCAGAGGCCCTACTTTCAAGAACTCTGGATTTGGAAAACAGTCCGAGCCCCCCAGTGCACCACTGCAAAGCCACGGTCTGGCCCAAGTCCATTTCCTGTATGTCCTAATTCTGCTCCACCTGTGGCTGGAGGAGGGGAAGTCCTAGGTCTATAGTTCATAAACATTTGGGGGAAGTCCTCCCCTCTCACAGGCCCGCACTGACCTGCCTTTGTCCCTTCGTCCAAGTCACATCCCATACAGCATCTCTGTTTCTCTGCCACACCATCTCTACAAACAGCATGCCCAGAAACAGTAGCATGCCTTTAGACCACAGTCCAGATGAACTTCCTAGAATGAGCCTCAAGCCTGCCTTACTTGGAGTCTCTTCAGCCCTCTGACTTGACTGGGCTCTCCTGACTAGAGAACCCATGCCTACCCTCTGAGCCTATGGATGCCAGAATGATACTGAGTACTGCAGGGCCATTGTGCTGGTGCATCAGCAAAATGACAGGACTCTCCAACCACAAAAATGGTCACCTACACCATGAAACATAAATAAGAGCCACACTTGTTCTGCACTGTGTGAAAATTGTAAGTTTTTCACTATGGTGAAAAACACCCAGAGACACTATAGGCCTGGAAGTGCCCTAAGGTTGCTGGTGTAGCCAGTGGCTCCAGGGTTTGCCCAGCTTGGGAAGGGTCTCACGCAGCACCTTTCTGGATCCTCACATGAAAGGGTAGGGGCTCCAGGAAGGTTGGATGAGAGGGGGGTTGGGGACCCCAGCCAAGCTCCCAGGCCTTCAGGAGCTTAAGGGGTCAGAGAGCTCTGGAGCACTCCTCATGCTGAGCTTCAGTTGAGAGAAAAACAGGTAGAACCTCAGGCACTCTGCGAGCAGGAAGTCCTCGCCATGAGGACACTGACCATCTTCTCCAGGCCTCTTCCACACAAGGGGTGACCAAACACAGCTGTGTGAGAGGGACATGGGCAGGCTGGGGGGCCTTAGAGAGAGGAGGCAGGAAGAGGCTACACCCCACCTTCAAAGTCTTCTTGCTCCCTTAGAGCAGGGAAGGGACGGACACCCGCCCAGTTACTGATGCATTATTCATTCACACTCATGCCTGCTGAGTGCTCACCACGAGCAAGGAAGGCACTGAGCAGGCCTGCGCCTTACCCAGCAGCCGGGTCTCTTGGCCCCTCCATGTCCTGTGTTTGGCCTTGCAGAGAGCATGCCCTGAATAACTACTCAAGTATCCACTTGGGAGAGTGAAAAGAATGAATAAGCAAGTGAATGAGCAAGTGATGAAGGAACAGACAAATGGGCAGATGGTGAGTCCATGCTGCTTTGCTAGCCCCAAGGATGAAAAGTATGTCCTGGGTGTGCAGGACCCTCCCATGAATCATGGAACAATCTTCTAACCCAAGCCAGTCCCCTCATGACACACTTGCTCTGTCTAGAAACGAATCACCCCTCACTTATGCAATACAGTAAACCTTTCCCAACATGACCAAAGGGTCTTACACATACTAGACCCCTCCTGGTAGAGCTCCTTTAATTTCAGTAAAAGTTCACCAAGCACCCACTATTTTTAGCCTGGGCTGGGGACACAGAGATGCATGTTGGCTCCTGCTCCCAAAGGAGATGGCAGAGAGGGAGAAGCCTGAGCCAATCGGGGAGAATGTTATTTCTGCCATGAAGTCCCCCAAGCTTCATGAGGATGGTGAGGCCCCAACAGACAGCCCTTCCGCTGTGTCCACACCCTCTCCCTTGAGCCCTCTGCGACCCTCATGTAACAGACCTGTGTGGAAACAGTACACTCCCATTCAGCAAGAGCCCTGAGACTCACAGACCCCCTGGAACCTCCTAAGGGCTAGGCTGAGGGTCTCAGACAGCATTTCTCAGCCCAGGGAGTGGTGTAAAAGCACTGTTGCAGTGAGAAGGAGAGTGCCACCTACAGGAGACCCGGCACCCCCCCCCCCCACCATGTGGGCCCAACCAAAACCTGAGGGGGACGCTCACATGACACAGATCTGAAGCCACCCAGCCCTGTCCCAAGATCCGTGGCATGGACCGCCCCGAGGACCACAGAGCATGGGGGCCACTCACCACGCGGCCGGGTCGTACTCAGCCCAGACCCGGATGAACTCGTCCAGATGGTGAGGCCCTAAGATGGAAGAGTCCCGTGTAAGGTACTCAAAATTGTCCATGATCACGGCCACAAAGAGGTTCAACATCTGTAGGACAGGAAGGAGAAAAGGGGTGACATGAAGAGACTTCAGCCTGCCCTCTATCCTAGCCCTTACCCTCTGGCCAAATTCTGTATGTGAAGTCATCACAGCAGCAGAAGCCACTCTAACCCAGCCAGCCCCTAGGCCTCTGCCACACCCCCACTGCCACCACCACCACCCACAGGCGGTGGCCCGCTCCCCCAAGGTCCTAGATCCCACAGGCTCCCCCTAACCTCTCCTGCTCTCTGCTTCTGCTTCCCAACCCTAATTCACATCCACAAACTCCCATCCCCATCTTCTTCTCCTCTTAGCTAGCCTTCAAGGACAGCAGTGACTTCGGAGTCAGTACTTTGGACTCTAGAGGCTGAAAGCTCAGCTTTTTTTTTTTTTTTTTTAAATTGAGTTGAAATTCACATAACATACAATTAATCATTTTGAAGTATACAATTCAGTGTCATTTAATGTATTTACAATATTATGTAACAACCACCTCTCTAGTTTTAAAATTTCTCTATCACCCCAGAAAAATACCTTGTACCTTAAGTAATCACTCCCTTATTCCTTCCTCCTCCCCTTCCCCAGCAATCACCAATCTCTGTTCTCTATCTAGAGGCTTGTCTATTTGGGATATTTCATATAAAAGGAATCATACAACATAGGATCTTTTGTGCCTGGCTTCTTTCACTTAGCATGACTTTGTGAAGTTCATTCATATTTTAACATGTGTCAGAACTTCACTGCTTTTTAAGGCTGAATAATATTCCATAGTAGGTATATACCACAATTTGTTTACCCATTCATCTACTGACGGACATCTGGATTCTTTCCACCTTTTGGCCAAACTGTTTTCCACAGAAGATGCTGCATTTTACATTCCTATCACAATGTACAACGTTACTATTTCTCCAAGTCCTTGCCAATGTTTGTTATTTTCCATTAAAAAATTATTATTATAGCCATTCTGATGAGTGTGAAGGGAGTGTGTGGTTTTGATATGAGTTTCCGTAATGACCAAAGATGTTGAATATCTTCATGTGCTTCTTGGCCATTTTATATATCTTCTTTGCAAAAATGTCTATTCTGATTCTTTGTCCATTTTTTGTATGGTTGCCTTTTTTAGTTGAGTACTAAGAGTTCTTTATGTGTTTTCAATATTATCCCCTTATAAAATATGTGATTTGTAAATATTTTCTCCCATTCTTTAGAGTGTATTTTCACATTTTTTATAATCCCTCTTGATGCACAAAAGTTTTTAATTTTGCACAGTCCAATTTATTTTCCCTTTTCTTACTTGTGATTTTGGGGTCAAATCTAGGAATCCTTTGCCAAATCAGAGATCATGAGGATCTACCCTCTATGCTTTCTTTTAAGAGTTTTATAGTTTTAGTTCTTATATTTAAGTCTTTCCTCAATCCTGAGTTCAGTTATATGTATGTGGTGAGATAGAGGTTCATCTTTACTTTTCTGCATGTGGATACCCAGTTGTCTCCTCATCATTTTTTTTAAGACAGAGAGAGTAAAAGAAGTAGAAGTAGACAAAGAGATCTTAAGCAGACTCCACACCCAGTGTGGAGCCCAACACAGGGCTTGATCTCACAACCCTGAGAACATAACCTGAGATGAAATTAAGAGCGGAGGCTTAACTGACTTAGCCATTCAGACACCTCCTTCACCATTTCTTAAAAAAAACTATTCTTTCCATACTGAACAGTCTTGGCATCCTTGTCAAAAATCAATTGTCCATACATATTTGGACTTACTTCAGAAATCTCAATCCCACCTCACTGGGCTATACCAATACCACAGTGTCCCCCTCCCACCACCAACTTTACTGAGATATATATAACGGACATAATTATAAGATATTTAAAGTGTACCTTGTGTCAATCTGATATATATAGCATTCTTACCGTCTAGTTAATTAACATATAGATCACATTTTTTTTTGGTAGAACATTTAAGTTCTACCCTCTTAGAAAATTTCAATTATACAATACAGTGTTATCCACTCTAGTCACCATGTTTGATATTATGTCATCAGGTTTTATTCATATTATAGATGAAAGTTTGTACTCTTTTACCAACCTCTCCCTATTTTCCCAACCCCCTAGTCCCTGGAAACAGCTTTTCTACTGTTTCTATGGATTTGACTTAACAAAAAAAAAAATTCCACATACAAGTGACACCATGCAGTATTTGTCTTTTTCTGTCTGGCTTATTTCAACTAGCATAATGCCCTCAAGATCCATCCATGTTGTCACAAATGATAAGATTTCCTTCTTTTCAATGGCTGAATAATACTCCAGTGTATGTGTGTGTGTGTGCATGTGTGTGTGTGTGTGTGTGTGTGTGTGGTGTATCATATCTTCTTTATCCATTCACCTGTTGATGAACACTTAGGTTGTTTCCGTATCTTGCCTACTGTTAGTAATGCTTCAATGAACACGGACGTGCATATTTCTCTTCAATATCCCGTCTTCATTTCCTTTGGATATATACCCAGAAATGGGATTGCTGGGCCATATTTTAATTCTATTTTCAATTTTTTGAGGAACCTCTATACTGTTTTCCATAGTGGCTACACCAGTTTACATTCCTACCAATACTAGACAGGGGTTCTTTTTTTCTCCACATCTTTCCCAACGCTTGCTATCTCTTGTCTTTTTCATGATAGGCCATTCTAAAGGTGTGACGTGATAGGTCACTGTGGTTTTGATTTGCATTTTCCTGATGATGAGTGATGTCGAGCACCTTTTCATGTACCCGTAGGCCAGCTGTATGTCTTCTTTGGAAAAGTGTGTATTCAGCCACATTGTTTTGATTTATGATAGCTTTATAGTAGTAAGTTATGAAATAGGGAAATATGAGTTCTCTCACTTGGTCTTTAATTTTCAAAATCTTTTTTGTAAATTGGAGTTGCCTGCCATTCCAAAGGAGTTTGAGGATAAGCTTTTCCATTTCTGCAGAAAGGCCATTAGAGCTCTGACAAGGATCACACTGAATGTGGAGCTCACTTTGTGGGGATACTGCCACCTTACTAATATTAAGTCTTCTGATCCATGGGCATGCATGTCCTTTCATTGAATTAGGTCATCTTTAACTTATTTTAGTAATATTTTGCAGTTCACAATGTACAAGTGTTTCATTTCCATGGGTATTTATTGATTCCCAGATATTTTGTCCCTTTGGATGCTACTGGAAATGGAATTATTTCTTTAGTTTCCTTTTCAGGTTGTTGTGTTGTTGTTTTTTTTTAATGTTTACTTATTTTTGACAGAGAGAGAGCATGCGCACACAAACACGGGAGGGGCAGAGAGAGAGAGAGAGAAGATCTGAAGTGGGCTCCGTGCTGACAGCAGGGAGCCCAGCACGGGGCTCAAACCCACAAACTGCGAGATCATGACCTGAGCCGAAGTCGGATGCTCACCAACTGGGTGCCCCATTTTCAGGTTGTTTATTGCTGTTGCATAGAAACATAACTGATTTTTGTGTGTTGATTTTGTACCCTGACACTTTAACTCAATTATTAGTTTTAGTACTGTGTGTGTGTGTGTGTGTGTGTGTGTGGTGCGCGTGCACGCGCACGTGCACATGTGTGTATTCTTTGGGATGTCCTATATATACAATAACATCATCTTTAACTAGAGATAGCTCTACCTTTTCCTTTCCAATCTGAATGCCTTTTGTTTCTTTTTCTGGCCCAACTGCTCTAGCTAGGCCTTCCAGCACAATGTTGAATTGAATAGAAGCGATAAAATTGGGCATCCTTGTCTTGTTCCTGGTATTTGGGGAAAAGTTTTCAGTCTTTCACCACTGAATACATCTTAGCTATACGTTTTTCATAAATGTTCTCCATCATGTTATAAGTGTTTCTATCATGAAAGGATATTGAATTTTGTCACATGCTTTTTTTTTTTTTGCATCTATTGAGATAATCAGGTGGGTTTTTTCCTCATCACATAGGTTGATTTTCATTTGTTGAAAATGCATCCTTGCATTCCTGGAATAAATCCATTTGATCATGGTATAGAATCCTTTTAACGTGTTGTTGGAATTAGTTTATTCAAGATTCTTACTGTCTATTTATCAGGGATATTGGTCTGTAGTTTTCTTTTGTTGGGGCATCCTTCCCAGTGTTGGTATCAAGGTAATGCCAACATCACAGGATGTGTTAGGAAGTGTTTCCTCTTCTATTTTTTCAACGTTTATTTATTTTTGGGACAGAGAGAGACAGAGCATGAACGGGGGAGGGGCAGAGAGAGAGGGAGACACAGAATCGGAAACAGGCTCCAGGCTCCAAGCCATCAGCCCAGAGCCTGACGCGGGGCTCGAACTCACAGACCGCGAGATCATGACCTGGCTGAAGTCGGACGCTTAACCGACTGCGCCACCCAGGCGCCCCATCCTCTTCTATTTTTTCAAAGAGTTTGAATAGGATTTAGGTTAAGTCTTTCTTAATATCATTTTAAAAAATTGTGATAAAATATGCATAACAAAAAGCTTATCAATTTAAACACCCACAAGTGTGCAGTTCAATGGCATCAAGCACATTCACAGTGTTGTGCAACCATTCCCACCGTCCAGCCCCAGAACTCTTATATCTTCCCCAACCGAAACTCTATCCTGATTAAACCCTAACTCCTATCCCCTCCTCTAGCCCCTGGCACCCACCATCCTGTCCTCGTCTCTAAAACTTCACTGTTCAGGGGACCTCAGAGGTAAAACCATACAGTGTTTTTCTTTTCTCACTGGTTTATTTCACTTAGCATAATGACTTCACAGTTCATTCATACTGTAGTTTATGTCAGAACTGCCTCTCTTTAGAAGGTTAAATGATATTCCCTGTACGTTCACGTCACATGTTGTTTACCAATCATTTGCTGCTGGACACTTTGATTGCTTTTACCTTCTTGCTGTTGTGACTAATGCTGCTATGAACGTATGCGTACAAATATTTATTCAAGTTCCTGCCTTCAATTCTGGCATACACCCGGAAGCAGAACTGCTGGATCATACTGTGTTTCTATTTTCACTTTACTGAAGAACCACCCTACTGTTCTCCACAGCAGCTGCACCACCTCACATCCCCGCTCGCAGCACCCAGGGCTTGTTTCTCCACCACCCCAGCAAACCACAGGCAACACTTTCTCTCTTTTCTTCTCTCACGCCTGTGTTTAATCATCAGTCATGTTGGCTCTACCTTTATTTTTTTATTTTTTTATTTTTTTAATTTTTGGGACAGAGAGAGACAGAGCATGAACGGGGGAGGGGCAGAGAGAGAGGGAGACACAGAATCGGAAACAGGCTCCAGGCTCCGAGCCATCAGCCCAGAGCCCGACACGGGGCTCAAACTCCTGGACCGCGAGATCGTGATCTGGCTGAAGTCGGACGCTTAACCGACTGCGCCACCCAGGCGCCCCTACTCTACCTTTAAAATGCACCTCAACTCCCTTCATCCCCACACTTCTCTAGGCACTATTACCTCCAATAATCTCCCTGACCACTCTTCAGCCTCTCCTGACCAGAAGCCAGAGCCAGAGCAAGATTTTAAAACATCACGCAGATCGTGTCATGCCCCAGCTCAAAGTTTCCCAGCGGTGTCTGATGACTTGGAATAAAATCAACACTCCTAGGACCTAGTCCACTGACCTCTCCAACCACCAGTTTCCTGAGGCTCATCAGCCTCAGGCACAACGGCTGGAGTGATGCTTCTTTGTATCCCAGCACCATGGCAGAGGCTAAAGACTAAGGGACAACTGTCCCATGGAAAATTTAAACCCTTTTTAAGAAGGAAAGGCAAGGCCCACAGGAGCTCATCACAGGGTGGGTCCTTTTAGGGTTAATGAGGTCATCAGTTCGGGGGATATAGGACCATCAACATGGAATCAGCCTGTAATGCGACATGAATCAGTATCGGGGATCAGTCACAGATGTAGGGGGACCCAGAATGGACTGAGACAGGTGGACACATGGGCACAGTGACCAGGACTTACCAGAAAGGAGCAAAGGAAGATGAAGGAGACGAAGTAAAAGTAGGCAAAGTCGCTCCCACACTCATTGGCATTGGCGTGCTCATCACAGGCCTGGTTGCTGAGACAAGACAGCATGATCTCGTGCCAGGCCTCCCCAGTGGCACTCCTGAGAAGAATGGCAGAGCTATGAGGCCCATAAAGGAAGGCCTGGACCAGCCTGGGAAGGGATCTCAGAAGAGCCGGTTCAAGTGCACACCCTCTCTGGGTTCCCTCCCACAGAGAACCTGCTCACATGTAAGGTATGGGTAAAAAACACCTGCTTTTTTTTTTTAATGTTTATTTATTTTTGAGGCAGAGACAGAGCATGAGCAGGGGAGGGGCAGAGAGAGAGGGAGACATAGAATCCAAACAGGCTCCAGGCTCTGAGCTGTCAACACAGAGCTTGAACCCATGAGCCGTGAGATCATGACCTGAGCCAAAGTGGGACTCTTAAATGACTGAGCCACCCAGGCGCCCCAAGAGATGCATGCTTCTTAAAAAGAATCCTCTGGCATTAGGACTGATCATTAACTCAGAAAGAACTATTTACTGAAAATAAGGCACTGCACCAAAATTCAGCACCATGGTGAGCGCCCATTCATGGACCTCTGCCACCTCAAAGCCAACAGAGCCCACCAGCCTTCCTGGTCTCTCCCCCACCCCTCCACCCAGCCTTCCTTGATTCAAAAAAATGGTGACTCCATCCCTCCAGTTTCTTAAGGCAAAAATGCCGCAGCCATCCTTGCCTCCTCTCTTGCTCACCACACTCTATTCATCACCTCATCTACTATGAAAAAACAGCCAGAATCTTACCACTTCTCACCACCCTGGGCTAAGCAACAATCACCTCCCCTGATCTGCTGCAACAGCTTCCTAACTGATCCTCCCCACACAACAGCCCAGTGGGCCCACTAAACACGGGTGAGATCAGGTCACTTCTCTCAACCAACCTCTGTCTCGCTGCAAAAGCCAAAATTCACACTCAACTTCCCACAGCTCAGTGTCACCTGCTGCCTGTTCTTTCCCAGTGGTCCCTGTTCAGTCCACTCCAGCCACATCAGCCTCTGCTGTTTCCTGAACACACCAAGAACAACCCCCAACCTCAGTGGCCACCCTGGAGAACCCTTCTTCCTGGACTTTTGTCCCTGGACATGCAACCAGCACAAGGGCAGGATGTGCACGAGACTTACAGGCAGACCAGAGGCCTGAGTCTCCCTAATTTGGTGTGCTTCTATGGCCAGTTGTGGGCACAAGTAGAGCCCACTCCTCATTGACAATGGCTAGGGGCAGGGGCCTTTTCCTGCAGAGCAGTTGCCCTGTGCCAGGCCTGGCTGACACTGGTGTACATGTGTGGCATAGAGATCAGGGAGGAAAAGAGATCTCAGAGAACAAACGCTTAAAACTAAGGCTGGTTTCACAGGCCTGCCTCAACTCTTGCAGCAAAGGCAGGACATTAATAAATGAAGAGATAAAATTAACATAATAGCTAAAATCCAGAGAAATGATTCTATTTGGGGAAAGCGTAGGCCTAAGGACACTTGTCCGTCCGATATAAAAAATGAGAGTCAGACCACTCCCTCCAGGCAGCTCAGCAAAGCAGACCTGGCTCTGATCTCCCTCCAGACAAGAACTTCCCCATGCCCCAGAGTGCACTGCACGGGGTTAGTGGTGTTGGGCATCCCCAGCACAGGCCTCACAGCAGCCTGATGCATTTACATACATAAACACCAGTGTGGACACCTTATGAAGGGGCACCAGGCAGGGAATGATGTCAGCACCCCTCCTCCTCTAGCCACTACAAAGAGCTCCTTCCTTCACTCCCAGGGTCACGGTGGTGGGCTTGGTTAAATGGAAGAGACTCTGGAGGCAAGGAGACACATTCAGTCCTCTCCCCTCAGCCCTCAAACCAGCATGGTCAACAGCCTCCAATCCACAGAGGGTGTGCTGTGCCTAAGAACAGCAGCTGGCACCAAGTGCTCCCAAGCACACCTTTGCGGGGTGGGGGGGGAGGGAGCTCTGGCCAAACACAAGCTCTGTGCCCTCAAGAGTCCACCCTGGCACTTGACTTGGGGCCTAGAGAATTGCGGTCCTGTGAGCCATGGGGGCATTTGAGTTCCTTGGGTCACTGAGTAGCACATACTGTATCAAAAGGGGTTCCCACTGCTCTGCTTCCCCCTGATCCCACAGATCACCATAATCAACAAGGCCAACAGACGGAAAGCTTATGGCCAGCACACCAGAAAAAGGCCTTGCTGGGCACCTTCTGTCTTCCCAGATTCTCAGCTGCAGCCTTGCTAGAGGCGTTTTGGTCGCTGTCAGGGATCAGAGACGAGGTGGTGGAGGTCAGACTAACACGGGGCTCAGGCTGACTGAAGCCCAGGAACCCTTAGGAAAGGACAACGAAAAGAGGGGAGAAGCTGGAAAGGTCCATTAAGGGGAGGCCAGCACAAGGTGGGTAGCCCCGTGGGTCAGCACACACCCTGTGCATCCTGGGTGGAGAGGCCTCTGAGCGTGGGCTGACTTCCCAAACAACACACCTGAACAACAGCATCAAGGCTTGTAAAAATGTTCGAAAGTTGTTGTGCCGGTTGATGCTGGTGTCATCATCCAGGGCAATATTTCCAAATACCTGAAACAAAAAAGAAGGCCACAGGCTGATACTGTTGGGTCATCAGGAGCTGTGGCCAGGCAGAAGAAGACCCATAAGGCACAGGACACTGCCCTTAGCTACCACCACTACTGCAGGGGCTGCAGGAAACAGGGCTTCCAGCTCTGATGGTGTCTGTGCATTTCCAGGGCAGAGGAAACCTCTCCAAGGCCAAATATGTCAATGTCCCACAGCTCAGCAAGTCCACAGATGCAAGTGTGCATGCCTAGTAAAAGTGGGACCTGGAGCTGAGTTGACATGGGCTGTAAGCATTTGGAAGTTGACTCTCTCGTCAATGATTCTGAAGCAGTAATTATATTGGTAATAGCTAGGAGATTACTTGAAAGTTTCTTTTTAAATTTCTATGCAAATATCACAATGGGCTTTTTATGCATTTTAATTGATATCGTTTCAGGGTTAGAAATGCAAACAGGTCAGTAATTGTACTTGGCTTAAAATCTGGAATCTGGCTGAAAAATTTATGAACTATCACATATTCACCAAAAACAAAGCTCAATGACATTTATGGTTTGTACATCCACAGACCAAAGCAGAAAAAGATATAGATTTGTTTTAAATAGCATCAGACCTCAGCACATTTTAAAATGGGAGAACTTTTTAATCCTTGAAACAGAGTTTAAAAATCAGTTTTCAGCTAGCCTTTAAGACAGTGGCTTCTCCCACTACACATGAACATTTGGGCCCGTCTCCCACCCTACTGTTGGAAAGAGGCCAGATGTCAAAAGGCTTAAAACTGGAACACTGCTTTGTGTCTTTTAAATGTTTTTCCAAATAGCTGACAAAGGGTTCTTCGGCAAAATAAAAGCAATCTAAATGATCCACACTGAATTGGACAGTATAGCGATCTGATGTGATCCTGCTGACTTTTTTCTTCTGTAATATGCAATTTCCTCTAAAGGATCAGGGCAACTCTCTGGACTATCCAAATGGCCAGCTGCTGCTCTACAGGCCACTCAGCACCAGGAAGACGTGCCAATGCGCCACTACCACGGGGGTCCAGCACCCAATCAAACCTGCCCATCAATGGCTCAGTGGGGTTCCACTCAGGAGCACAGCAGTGCATCTTCCCACAGCTACTACCCCCACTCTGGCCAACACATCCAACCTCTTGGTGCCCAACCTCTGTGTCCTTTATTGATAGAACAGCCCTTCTGAGAATTAAGTTCATGAAGTGCTTAGACTAATACCTGGCTCGCAGAAATCATCACTAAGTGTCAATCTGTCATTGTTATCATTTGATGACTGTGATGAGTGCCCTCCTGCTCCAGGGCACAGGAACCCCTCATGCACCCCATCCTGGCAGGCACACCCACCTGCATGCCAATGATGGCATAGATGAAGAAAAGCATGGCGATGAGCAGACACACGTAAGGCAGGGCCTGTGGAGACACGCAGGAAACGGAGCAGCTCCAGGGAGGGCCCGACGGCCACCTTGCTTGGGCCTCGTCTGCGGAGTGGATGGTGGCCGGGTCTCTGGAGCCACTCAGACCTCAGCTACCACAGATCCACCCCCACTGACCATGAAGCCCCTCGACCAGGCGACCACCTCAGTTTCTTCATCTATAATCGGTCATAAAGCTTATCTCAGAGTCAGTGAGCATTATCAAGATACTCTCTGGATAACTTAAAATGTATTTATAAACTACCATAGGAAAATAGGTGCCGACAAGGAGCCTCCAAGAGGGGGGCTGCTCTGGTGGCAAGAGAGGGGGTGGCCACACCACTGTGCATGGCATGACAAAGGGAAGGGTCAGGGCACTTGGCCGTGCCTGGGCTTCACCTTGAAGGACTGGACGAAGGTCCACAGCAGGATGCGGATGGTGTAGCCTTGGCGGAGCAGCTTGATGAGCCGGGCAGCACGGAAGAGGCGTAGGAAGCTGAGGTTGATGAAGTTGTTCTGCAGGGAAGAGAGGCTGTTCTCTAACCTGCGGAAACCAGCTTCCTGCAAGCGCAGGCACGTTGGTCCCCACCCACCTCTCCCTGACTTGCTGTGGTCTGAAGAAAAGTGGATACAGAGAGAGGCTGAACAAAAAGTCACTGCTCTGCAGTATAAGCAGCAATTGGCCACCGGAAAACCTTCCAGAAGTAAAGCTTGTCGTTGCAAATCACTTCTCATGCAGCAAATCAAAGAAACCCCACCACTCTAGGCTCCCCTGGACCCAACAAGGAGGGACAGAGAGAAAAGTTCTCAGAAGTAGCTCCTTGCTGCCAGATGGAACCAGGAGACCAACTGTGGCTGGGCCTCTAACACCGACCACCTCTTGCGGGACACAGCCGAGCCGTCTGAGCGCTGGGCGGAACTGCTTCTCCGCTGAGAGCCTCTGAAGGGCCCCACCCCAGGCTTGGTGGCAGGGCCCTTCCCTTCTCCACACAGTCAGTGAAGCCCCGGGACCTGGCAGAGGGGCAAGCACTCCCCCTGGGGCTGCTCTGGGTGCCTACAGACAAGTCACCACAGGAGGCGTGTCGGTGACTCTGCTCACACCACGGAAGCTACTTACAAAATCCACAAATGGTCTCAGCTCCAGAGATCCCAGGGTAACTAGCACTGCTCCCTCATCCAAGGGGTTCAAAATCAAGCGCAAAAAGAAACAGTTATCTCTGGACTCCACAGATTACCTGGGAGTGAGGCTTCCGCCCTGGCCCAGGGGCACCTCGAATTACTGGCACCTCCCTTTCAGGGAGCACGGCTCTGGGTGGTATCCACGAGATGGGGGTGCTTGTAGACCCAGGCCGCTTCCCACCCTCTGTCTGCTTAGAAAACAGGTGCCCACCCACAGCCTGAGAGCAGCTTCCTGCCACTTGAGTGTTCTAACATATGCAAGCAGCTCAGGCTTAGACACATCGTATCACCAGATTCAGTGGTCAAATGAAGAGAAAAGAGAACACAGCATGTTGAATGAGAGCAGCAGCAGAGGAGCACGTGCAGGAGGCACTGGGAGCCTGGGGAGAGCTGGGTGCCCTCCCTCCAGGACTGCGGTGCCCTCCCTCCAGGACTGCCCATCTGGTCTTGGCTGGGATGAGTCTCTCTCTTACTTCTGTGAACGGCGGCCCCAACCCAGCCCTTGTCTGCTCCTTTGGTTTCCACCAGGGCGGCTGGAGACTCTGGACTGCCTCTGCTGGAGGGCTGGATACGGGAGTCATGGGGTGGGAGGTCTGGCAGTCGCAGGGGGTGCCAACTGTGGTCCAGATCAGCAAGAAGGCAGAAGGGGACGGCAGGGTGTGACCCTGGAGTGTACACAAGTTTTTTGGCCTACAGCTCCCTCACCTGCTGTGCTGGGGAGAGAGAATTTCAGTGGTACAGGATGGCTGAGAAGCACCCACACTCACTCCATGGGCCCCAGGACTCTCAAATGAGCCAGCACCTCAGGAGGACGGGCACAAGGATGGGAGGGGGACTCTGTCTACAGTGCCAGGAAATCCTTTGTACAAGACAATAAATCAGAGGAAGGGGAGGGGGCTTCCAAGTGCCTGGCCTCTCCTAAGGTCTCTACTTTGAAACCGTCTGCTCAGTTGGGTCTGGAGAGGCCAAGACTTATAACACAGTCAGCATCTTCCCGGCCCAAAGCACTCTACTCAGGCCACGGGCATAGACCAGAAGATTTCCTGAAGATACTGGGAAAAATATAGGCTTCTGGGTGAGGAAGAAGGGTTGGAAGACAAACAAGGCAGGGAAAGGCAGTATTCACCCAAATTACTTAATGCACAAATGCAACATTCAACAAGTCACTGACTATATTTTGTTGAGACTCAAGTTCCCGCCCCACCCCCTCCCAGACTCCTTTTCTCAGGGCTCCAGTGGGCACCCAGGAGAGGGGTGGGGATTGGCAACAGACAGACAGCCCTGAGAGCCATGAGGACGGATGGTGACAGCAGCCACAGACACTCCAAGCGCAGCGTGGCAGGCTGAGCACACTGTGGCTGCACCCGGGGTGGGAGCTGCCAGGAACCACCATGCGGACTGCATGCAGGAGGGCGGGGCAGCAAGCACATGGCAGCCTCCCCGTGGCTGTGCATAGTCACCTCTGGCCCCAGCCAACCCTTTGGAGGTGGACACAGCCTGCCTTATCCTACCAGAGTCCACGGTTTCTGTCACACCAGGGACAACCTACTACTTTACCTACTGTTTCCTTACTCTGCCTCTACATCACAAAGGGTCTAGAGCACCCCAAAGACGCATCACCACATCCCTTCACGTGGTAGCTGATCATCTTGAGGGTGTACTGTTCCTAGCTCCTTGGAGTCCCTGCTTCCTCACTCACAAGACAGAGACATGAGGACATCGTGCCCAGACAGTGAGGAATCACTGAGGAAAGGGATTTAAAAGTGCGCCAGGCATTGTGAAACATGCCCCCCACAAAGGGTTATTAACTGGCCCCAGGCCCAGACTGGCATCCCCTGCACCCACCGTCAAGCCTCGAGTCAGGGTCACAGCAGGGTGACCTGTGCAGGTGAGCTGGGGCCACACTCCACGCTGGCGCTGAGGCCCAGCTAGTGTGGAGCAAACTGCTCCCCTCCTTGTTTCTCACGTGACAATGATGAAGGAAAGAAAGGAGAGCCCTGCGTATCCAGCATGTCAGGTGAGGCGTGCACTCCGAACGAAGAGGGGGAGCACAAAGGGGGTGCTCTTCCGCACAGACAGGGCAGGGCTGTGAACAGGCCTGAGTGGGTCGAAGCCCATGCAGAACACACTGCTTGGGATTTCTGGGGCAGCTAATGGCATTTTCTCAAAACTCAAGCTTTTCTGCTCCAATTGTGAAATACTTTATCACCAACACGGACTCTCCGTAATAGGAATTTCAAATATTTGCTATTTTATGTGAATTTCCAGTCACAGCCTCTGTTCCTGGTAACCGCTCTCCTCTCAAACACCCCTAAAGGCCTGGGAGAAAGCCCCAGTTCACGCCGCCTGCACTCCACACAAGCTCTCTGACCAAGGGCACACACTGACAAGGATCAGTGATGCCTGCATGCACAAGCCCTGTGTTCCACTGTCTCCTGGGGCAGACCCCCCTCTTCCTACTCGGTCAGGCCTTATACAACCCCTGCTGAATCATGTAGACAGAATCTCAAATCCCCGCCAGCCCTGAGCCCCGGGGAGGATTCCCTATAAAAGGGCAGGTCTGGGAAGAACACTCTAGGAGACATCATCAGAGGCCACTGGGGAGAACCGACCTTGTCTGTTCGCATGATGGGGACAGATAGAAGGGAGATGTTGCAAGAGAAACCATGGACTCTACAGGATCAGGTCCAAACTCATGTCCTACTAAACCCCTCCAATTTGGAGCGAATCCCAACAGGAAAAACTGACTGGCCACTTACCCGCCTCACTCCAGAAGACCCTACCTCCTCTCTAGACCCAAAGCCAGTTCCTGAAATCAAATGGCTCCCGGGAGGGTCTTCAGAAGGCCCTGTTGGACCCCCAGAACTGAGGAGAAGAGGCCAGAGGGAATGGGTACCGCCAGACTCTGACCACACACCTCAGGAAGGCAGTGGCTAGGGGTCACAGGAAATGGAAGAAACAGCGGGAGCACAGCAAGCAAAGCAAGGATTTTAAGAACCGTTTAAAGTCACGAAACCAACCGTTTCCTATATGTGATGTTTTCATGGATGGATATTTGCGTATTATTTACAAATTGGGATGTTTGAGCAGCAGGTGCGCAACATACAGACGGAGACATGGTTTTCGCATTGTATGTTGGTTGGATGGCGTGAGTCAGCAGGTAGGTTAAGGTAAATCAAGAACAAAAACAGAAAACAAAAGAGAAAATGAGTCATCAACACAAGCAAAAACTTAAACTTTGAATACTTAACTGGAAAATTTTAGGATTTGAGTAAACTTTGCATATTCTGCTTAAAATGCATCAAATCAAAACATATTTTTGAAATCTGTAAGTTATGCAGACAGGGTGGCATTCATTTGCATTCCTGTTTGTAATGCAAATCCAAAGATGACTCACAGACACTTATTTTTTTTTATTTCCAGGCAAAGAAATCAATGTCAGTTTTATGCTTGCTTGGGAACGCTCTCTACATAACCCTGGTTAAGACTATTGCTCTGTTTTGATTGTTAACTTGGTGGTGGGAACTGACACTCATATTTTTGCCTAAGGAAAAAAAAGTACATTCACAAAGTAACATATGAAGTGACTACAGATGAAAAAATAAATAAAGACACCACTAATCCACACGACGGCTTCCTTTCATCTTTTCTCCTCTAGGCAGGACAGGGTGATGGACTGAGCTCTGAGAGTGCTAGTGGTCAGGGCACAGTGGAGCTTCCAAGCCAAGTGGCTTCTCAGCCCTACCCCCAGCCCTGCTGGGCATCAGAGGCTGCTGGGAGCGGCCATGGTGGGCTTACTTGAAGTAAGAGACTGGGCTACTCCGGCCACCTGCACTGCAGAAGGCCTCTGCCTTGTGTGTGGGCCTCTTCTGAGGGGGAGGCTCCCCTAGAAGGCATCGTGCTCTCTGCACGACTGGCACGCCCCACCCTTGATGCCCTCTCATCAGTCTGCCCTCTCTGGCAAGGACGCATACACATGAAGAAACCCCCAGGGCTGTGTCCTGGGAGCTCAATGTTTGAATCCCTTTATCCGGGAAACAAAGATACGTGTGTCCAAGGAGGAGGCCTGCAGGGATCAGCAGCCAGCTTGCTCCTCCCAGACACCACAATAGTACAAACTATTTCTGGATGAGAAACACTTGGGCAATGTCTCAACACCAACAGTTGGTGGCACATAAGAACCTCCGTTTTTGTGTTAAATGAGAACCCTTGGACTTTTGCCCAGATTATTTGGATTATTAATTTTTGAAAACCGTGAAGCATGCCACATAAACAAAAGAATATGTATAAATGCGTGTAGACGCATTTTAAAGAAAAATAATAAAAAATAAAAAAAAAACCATATATCCGTCACCCAGCTTAAAAAAACAAGAACGTCACCATTACCTTTGAAGCCCATCCTGTCTCCCTTTGTCCTGCCTGGACATAGTAGCTGCCCTTAATTCTTGTTAATAAGTGCTTCTCTTTACTGTCTTACCACAAACTCTTAAAATGCATTTTACTTGACTGTTCTTAACCTTTGTAAAACGGGACGATACTGTGCGCAGCCTTTTTGGACTTGGACAAACTTTTAAGCCATGGTGAGCCAACCTTGTTTGTGAGAAGCACCTCTCTGGACATGGAGGTCACCCTCATACTCACAGTGTGCGTGGGCTTCCCTATGTTACTGTATCGTGACAATTGGTGCATTCTGCTGCTACTGAAAACAACACTGCCACAAACGTGTGTGACAGTGGCCCCAGGTCACCAGCCCAGATGCACTCTGGCATATGTCCCTAAGAGAGAAGGTGCTGAGCTGCATGCATATGTTCAACTTTCTAGGGACTGCCACACCTTTCTAAAGAGGTTGCCCAACAGACACCCCTGCAGTACTGTGCAGGTTCTGGATGTCCCACTTCCTTGCTAACCGTTGGCATGGTCAGAATTCCTGTTTGACAAACCAGAGGGTGTGAAATGATATCTCAATATCATTTCACTTTACATTTCTTTGATCACAAGTAAGCTTGAGCACCTTTTCCTGTGTTTATTGGCCATTTCTGCTTCTTTTTTCTTAAAGATTTTTTATGTTTATTTATTTTTGAGAGAGAGAGAGAGAGAGAGAGGAGAGACAGAGCTTGAGCAGGAGAGGGGCAGAGAGAGAGAGGGAGACACAGAACCTGAAGCAGGCTCCAGGCTCTGAGCTGCCGGCACAGAGCCCAACGCAGGGCTTGAACTCTCAGACCACGAGATCGTGACATGAGCTAAAGTTGGACGCTTAACTGACTGAGCCACCCAGGTACCCCTGGCCATTTCTGTTTCTTATTAAAATACCTTCAGCTCATTTTTTAATTTGGTCACTTTTGTTTTTCTTACTGATCACAGAAAAGCCTTGCAGAGTCTGGACAGTAACCTTTGCTAGTGGTTTGGAAAACTTCTCTGTCCTCCAGCTATGCTTTTGTCACTACGTGTTGGCACATCGCAGACCTCAATAGCTCATTCTTTTCTCTCCTTTACTGACCTCATTCCGTCTCATGGATCTGATACCATCTTATATGCTCATGATTCCCAATCTTACGCCACTGGCATGAATCTCTCCTCCAAACTCCAGGCCCATCTGTCCAACTACCTTTTGGACAATTCCTTTGAGAAGGCCACCAGGCAACTCAAATCTAACATGCACAAATTGCATCCTGACTGTCCACAACAAACCTGTTACACCCACATTCTTTTCCATTCTCATTAATGACAACCCATTTTCCAAGTGCTTAGACTTTGATGTCATTCTTGCCTCAACTGTCACACCCACATTTGGTCCATCTACAGCTCTCCCGGAAAATACATCCAGAATGACAGTCTCTCGCCTTAGCCCAAACACCCAGTCCCTCTGCTGGGCTCTCTGCAGTGATGCTCATGGCACTCATCCCCACAGGGCCGATACTCAGTTGTCAGCATCTACATCTATTTTTCCTGAGAATTCTCCCCCTCCTGCCACCAGCCTTCAACCAGTGGCAGACAGCACTTGGTGAAAAATACCCCAGTCACTTGCACTTGCTGGGGTAACTAAGGCTTAGAGCTCCCCATTAGGACCCACAATGCTAACTGACTTCATAGCACCTTGTATTGGATGCCTCCCTTCCCTGGCCCACTCCATCACTCCCCTGGAATTCCTGGGGATCACCTGTCTTGGGGTCCACCTGGGATAGCCCAAACGAAGACAGCCCTAAGTTGTCTAGCTGCTTCTGCTTGTGCCCTGCACTGTGTCCTCAACAGAGCAGCCAGAGGTCTGGTCTAAAAAAGCCAAATCATGTCACTCCTCTTCACAAAACCCTCCAAATCCTCCTACTCACAACATAAACCAAAATTTACTCCAGCTGCAAGGTCTTCCCTGCCCCCCATCTCCTCTGTCCACACTGCTGCTGTGGCAGTGTGCCCACGTCCTCCCTTGTGAGTGCAGGCATAGGGTGGGTGCAGGGCTTGGTGTTGCTCCCCGACGTCCCCTGCTCAGCTTCCTCACAAACCCAGACATCTTTGCTTGGAAGTCATCATCTCAGTGACATCTTGTCTGGACACATAGCCATCAAAGCCTGGAACCACCCCCACCCCTGCCATGTCTCATACCCCTTCTCTGCTGTGCCTTCTCCCAGGGCCTATCGTGGTCTAAAACCCATGTCTTTCTCAATGGAACGAAACTCCAGAAGAGCAGAGATTTTCATCTTTTGTCCCTGCACTTAGAATACTTCTTAGCACATGACAGGCAGTGCATAAATATTTATAACGGATAAATGAAGGAATGTGATGCAAACAACCCCTCCCTGTTAATGGACTGTCCTTTCTTCTTTTGATAAACAGAAACTTTTTATTTTATAGAAAAATTTTTTCAGTTATGGCTGGTGCTTCGTATATTTTGCTTATGCAAACAGTCCCTATCCCAAGGTCTTAAAGATAATCTCCTGTATTTTCTTCTAAGAGTTTTAAAGTTTTCCCTGTTATATTTAAGTATTTTCATCCATTTGAAATAGATTTTTTTTTTTTTGTAAATGGTGTGAAGATTCAATTTCTGGTTTTCCTGATATGGATAGTCATTATACCCACATCAATTATTGAACTGCCTCCCCATTAAGTAACAGGGTCATACATCAAGTTTTCATACACGAGTGATTTTGATTCTAAACTCTTGATTCTGTCCATTGGCTTATTTACTATCCCTGTGTCAGCTCCATATTCTTAATGTTCTCGCTTTATAATAAGTCTTATCATTGATGGGAACTGTACCCCCACCCCAGAGCTGCAGCAGCACCTTCTGCTTCTTACATATCTTGAGTATTTGGGTGCCTTTGCTCTCTCTGATGAGTTTTATAAGCAAGTTGTCAATTTCCAAAACAAACAAACAAAAAAAATCAGTGGTATTTGTATTGAAATTACATTGAACCTACATATCAATCTGGACAAAATTATCTCTGAGATTGACACTAATTATTTACTGTGCAATAGAATACCATCTACTTAAGTCTTCTTTACTATCTTTCACTGAGGTTTAGCACTTTTCCATACATAGACCTTGCATATGTATGCTGTTAGGTTTACTGTCAGGACTGCTAATGCTGTAATGGCATGCAGTCAACTACTCACTCAGGTAATCTACTCAGCAACCATCCTAAACACTCTTTATCAGTGTTACATTTTTCCAGATTTCATCAATAGCTAATAATGTTATCTGGGAATAATGACAGCTTTGCCTATTCCTGTTCTAATACTTAGACATTTTATTTATTTTTCTTGTCTTATTCATTCAACAAGTGTCTACTGACTACCTAAAGTGTCAGACACTATTCTAAGTCCTGGAATATGGCAGTGAACCAAACAGGCAAAAACCTCTGTCTTCGTGGAGCTAACATTCAATTTATTTAACTGACCAGGACCTGAAGTTCAATGTTGAAAAGAAGTAGTGCTTACAAATATCATTGCCCTTCTCTGATTTTAAAGGGAATTGTTTCCAAATTTAACCATTATATGATGTTTGCATAGGATTTTTTGGTAAATTCTCTTCATCAAGTCAGTAATTCCTAGATTACCAATAATTTCTATTATGAATACAATTTGAGTTTTACCGTACATCTTCTCTGGAGCCAAGACAGAATCACATTAACAGTGTCCTTTGATCTGTTAATGTAAATTAGACTTTCTGATGTGTCTGTATCTACATTAATGTGTGTGGATTATGATCTTCCCATATTATACTCAATTAAAAAGTTTTAGTATCAAGATTATACTAGTCTCATACAAATAGGGAATGTTCACTCTTTTTCTATTCACTGGAAGAATTTGTTTAGGATTGGAATAATCTTTCCTCATATTTTAGGTGGAAACCTAACACATAAGACTACTATAATCAGTGGTATGAGCCACGTCAGGACATGGATCCCAAGGTAAAAGACAAATCAGTTATCACACCTCACACTTCCTACTTCTCATAGGCTTCCTTGGGTTTCAGAGATGGCATTTACCACAAAGGAAATACTGCTGTGACCTATTTATCAGGTGACACAAAGCTGCCGGCTTTGAGAGATTTCAGAGCAAGAGAGGGGTCTCTAGCAGATCCATGCTGCAGTACCAGGAGCACTATACCTTGGGCCATAAAATGCAACAGATTCCACAGTGCTGGGGTATCTGTGGTAGATAAAGACACTGTGTGGAGTCGCTGGAAAGCCTACATAGAAAAGCCAATGCAAAGACCTAGGATTCTGGAACAAGGCCATGTCATCTGCTACAGACATCACCAATGAGAGGGCTACTCCTGGATACTGGGCCCTGGGTGGAGATTGCATCTGACCATGAAACAACAGTGCCTATGTTACCAAAGCTTCTCCTTATGAGTATATGTAGCAGGCCCGCCATCAATCCTGCATATGACAGAAGTGCTGCATCCAGGGCCGAACCCAAGCATGTCTAGAAGGCACAGTCATATGACAGGTGGCCCAGTGCCTCAGACGTCTCACCTTTGCTGCAGCTCTGTCTTCCTGAGCTCACCCTGACCCCAGTGAGTCATGGGATGATCACTATAGCCAACCTGATTTATGGAGCAGTTGGCTCAATAAATTGGTGCAGCCTCAGTAGAGTCCCACACAGAGACAACCTTAAAGGCAGTGGTGAAGCAGAGCTCTGGGTGGTGCTCTGGGTACCTCATCAGCCATGGTGTCTATGGAGAAAGAAGTTGCCTGTGGTATGGACTACAGGACCTCTGGCAAGAGCTAAAGCCTTGTCAGGACTCCAGAAAGAACCAAGTTTGGGGAAAGGCTGGATGGGCCTGGGGAATGTACGTGACGTGCAGGTCCTTGTAATACACAACCAGGTCCACCAGAGCATCCACGGCTGTAGGGGCACTAAGAACCAGCTCCTGAGATTGTTTGCCCAACAGGTAACAGCCAGCCTCCATCCTCACCAGCCCCAGTGTTTATACAGTAGATCCATGAATGAAGTGACTGTGGTGGCTGAGATGAAGGCTGTGCCTGAGCCACCCAGCTGGGCTCCCTCTCAACAAAGCTGATCCAGCCATGGCCGCTGCTGAACATCCAGCCTGCTATGAGCAGAAGTCAGCTAGGCCTTTACAGTGTACCACACTTCAGGCTGTCAATCAGCCCCTTGGTACTAAGTTGCTTACACGGGAATCCTTTCACCTGGAAACGGCAGTGATTTATCTCAAGTGGGATCACTCATATCCTGGGTGTGGGTTCGTCTTTGCTGATGGAATACCTTGGCCTACGCTAGTATCAGAGATTCATCAACAAGGGATTCCACATAACATCAGCTCAGCATAAGCACAGGAGCTACAAAGGACACATGACTCAGGATCCATATCATATTCAACATCATTCAGGAGATGCCGACCTGATAAAATGTTGAAACAGACTCTTAAAGGCACAGATTAAATGCTGGCTTGGTGCTATATACCTCATGGGGTTGGGATGTTGTCCTTTAAGATGAACTGATGGCCAAGAGGTGGTACTGGGTGCCCAACTGGTAAAACGCCCAGACCCAGGAAGCAAGGGGTAGAAGTCGGGGTAGCCCCTCTCAGTATCACTCCAGCTACTGAGGGCAGACTTTGTGCTCCCTCTCCCCAAGTTTAGGTATGGCAAATCTAGAGGTCCTGGCTCAAGGAGTAGGGAAAGCTTCCACTGTGGAACATGCCTTAAGAACAACAGGCAGAGCATAGTTTCCATACTGGCCAGGGTATTTGATGCTGGTTATTCTTTGTTTTATGTTTGCTTGTTTGTTTGTTTACTTTTTGAGACAGAGAGAACAGGGAAGGGGCAGGGAGAGAGAGAGAGAGAGAGAGAGAGAGAGAGAGAGAGAGAGAGAATCCCAAGCAGGCTCCACACACCGCACTGAGCCCAACTCAGGGACTGATCTCACAACTGTGAGATCATCACCTGAGCAGAAATCAAGAGTTAGACACTTACCTGACTGAGCTGCCCAGGTGCCCCATATGCTGGTTATTGAGAAGGTTATTGAGAAGGGCAGAGCTACCAGTACATAGGGGCAGGAAGAAGTCTATCTGGACATCAGGAGGTTCACTGGGGCCTTTCTAGTTTCTATGACCAGTCTTAACTATGACTGGACTACCTTGGCAGCTGGAGCACAAGTATGGCAAGCAGGGACTTAGGTTACAGTGGATGACAGTGTGGGCCACCTACCAGGCCAGCAACCAGAGCAGCAGATGGCCACCATTCAGGGGACCTCAAAAGGGTCAGAGGAAGAATGAGTTAATGAACATCAACTGAACTCAGATCAACTCCAGCTGGTTACAAACCCTCTTCTTCCAGAGATGGTGACCAGCACCATCCTGAAGAATGAGTGAAGTAAACCCAGTGTGAGGTGTGTACAAGAGTTGAGCAGAGCCAGGGTGGCACAGCAGACACTTGTTACCACTGAACGGGCACCATGTGGCCCTGTTACCATGGAATCTGACATTCCTGCACCCCCAGCAGGTGCCAGAGCCTGCTTTGCCTGCACACGGGGTATACTCAGAAGAGCCGGAGGTGTCTGACCATTAACACCTCCAGCTGTAGCCCTTAGCTGAGCACTAACAGGTACAGAGGAAGAGGTTTGCAGCTCTGAAGTGCGACCACCCCCAGTGAGGGATGAGCCAAATTCACCCCCAACTTGGCTCCAGATACATTTCTGGTCCTCCTTCTCTTACCCATCAGTTCCCCAATCCACTCTCTAATGGTTTTTCCTGGGACTACTTCCTAAGAAATGATTTGTACAAGCACCCCATCTCAGGTGATGCTCCTAGAGAATTCAACAGAAGACAGAGATGAGATTTTTTGCCATTTAATTCTAAGAGAAAGCACTGTACTCAAAGAATATTGCTTTATGATTCAGATTCTTTGAAATTTGTTGAGACTTGGTCAACACTTGCACTTGCACTTGGTCAGTTTTTACATATAATCCATGCATGTTTAACATGAATGAGATTGTCTAGTTTTATTTATACACACACGTACAAACATGTAAAACAAAAAAATATTTAAGTATTTTAAAATATCCTATATTCTTGTTGATTTTAGTTTATGTAATTTTGGTGCCAAATTGTTAGATTTGTTAGACACACACAGATTTAAAAGACTCTTGTCTTCCTGGTCAGTTGTTACCATGGAGCTCCCAGGTGGCTCTCAGGCCACCAAACTGGAAGACCTTTTGGGAACCACTTTCTTATCCAAGAAAAAGCATTTTTTTCAATCAGTCCTCAGTCCCCAACTCCACCTCTGGAGAGGAGACTCCTTCTTTCCAGGGGCTCCTGGGGAACTCTAGCAAGAGAAGAGGAGCTAACACTTAGGACCTGGAGGCACACTGAGGGAGCACCACCTAGAAGGAAATCACGCTGGGGCCCTCGAGGAGGGACAGGAAATGCTACTTACCGCAATCTCTGTTACTAAAATATCAGTAATACTTCCCAACACAGTGACAAAGTCAAAGACATTCCAGGCATCTCTGAAATAGTTCTAGAGAGAAAAAAGAGCAGTTACTGCTAGTGGCTGGTGAGGGTTTCTGCCAGGCAAAGAGTTGCAAGACGTGGCTCCTAATCAAGAAAGGGGCAAAGGGACAGATGGGCCACCCCAGGTGGGACACCACAGCTGGGTAAGTAAACACCTGTGGGCCTGGGCAGGTGCAGACTGAGAGCTGTGAGTCCAGAGAGGAGGAATCTGGCTCCATCTGTCTCCAGGAACTGAGCTGGGGGCAGAGCTCAGGCAGCTGAGAGCATTAGAGCAGCCCCTTCCTCAGCGCCCCTACAAGGTCACATTTCCTCTGGGGGCTTGGGGGATTCCCAGCTCCATGCTGTAAGTCTCTGCAGGTCTCCCTACAGATGAGGAGCCACAATGCAGACCACCAAGAGGCCAAGAGGGAGTCAAGGCACCTACCAGCACCCCAAAGGCGATGATCTTCAGCACGCATTCCATGGAGAACATGGATGTGAACACAATGTTCAGGCATTTCAACATCAGCTCGTATTCATAGGGTGCATTGTAGAACTGCACGGGGAATGAGTGCCATTGGCCATAGGTTCAACTGCCCCAAGACACCCCACCAGGGATCACCCTGACCTTCTGCCAGAGCACTGCATGCAGAGAGAACTGCATGCCTGCCCAGCACACGGACACCCCATCCTGCTCTCCCCGTCTCCTCCTAGGACATTCTCACCAACTCAGCCCATGCGCAACCTATGGCGCTGGCTTCCATAGGCATCCCATGCTGACCAGGACATGGTCAAATGTAACTACAGTTCTCTCACACCCAGCTGCCACCCACTGCCCCCGTACTGGGCCCACACACCTTCATCATCAGCACCACCGTGTTGAGGGCAATCATGGCCATGATGAAGTACTCAAAGGGCGGAGACACGACAAACGTCCACGTCTTGTACTGGAATGACTGCTTGTCCTGGGGCATGTACCGTGTCAGGGGCTTGGCGCTGATGGCAAAGTCAATGCAAGCCCTCTGTGTGGAAAGAAAGGAACACTGAGAACTTGTCTGGGGAGAACCCCACACTGTAGCACCCACTGCACCCACGCCTGTCTCCTTCATCCTCGCAGGCAGCCCTGACCACCCACACTCAGTCTCTCTCTGTGCTGTACTGGCTTCCAATGGTCCTGCCCATGCTGCCCATCAAGCGAGCCCAGCAGAGTGTCCACTGTACATATGCACAGGGGACAGAAGAGGGAGCCACCCACCTCGTTCTTCTCCAGGCTGCACTCAGACATCACCTTGTCCCCCTGCTCCTGGAAGGTGATGATAATCAAGGCCACAAAGATATTGACGAAGAAGAAGGGGAAGACCACAAAGTAGACCACATAGAAGATGGATAGCTCCATGCGGTACCCGGGGCTTGGGCCCTGCTCCTCATAGGTGGCATCCACAGAGTGTTTCAGGACCCTGTGTCAAGAGCAAACACCAAGAGTCAGGGGGACCCCTGAGTACAGACCCATGGGGAAGTCAAGACCTGTATCACAGGTGAGGCTTCCATACCTGAGCCCAGAGATGGCAAGAGAAAAGGAGGCTCAACATGGCAGGCCAAAGCCTGTCCCACCCCACCCCCCAGGACTGCAACCTCCTGGAGGTGGGCTGCCTTACTGATGGGGTTTGTACTCAGGACTGTTGGAGAGCCACCAAGGGGAGGTCTCCAGTGCCTAATGTCCTAACACCAGGAGAGGTGGAGGCCCAGGAGTTGTGCCCTGCCCTGCTCACTCCCGGCTCACGCCTGCTCATGCCCAGCTCACCAGCTCATACCCAGCCTCACCTGCCTTTGGAAAGCCCTGGGCCACCTGTCAGAGAACTGATCCCACCTTCTGAGTGGTGGTCCTCCCTGTTATCCAGTGTGGCGACTGAACACATACATCCTTCTGTCTACCCTTAACTGAGACCAGAGGAGTAGCACAGGGAGATGCTGAATAGCCCCATTCACTTCTGACCTTCAGCTACTCAAAAAGGACTTTCAGGAAGTCACTATGCTGTGTGCTTTGGTGTAATCTCCTCCTCTTCCCAGGCCACCCCACTCCTGGAAGGCAGAGCTATGTCTTACCTGGTAGATACAAGAGCCTATGGGGTATTTGCTGAGTGACTAAAACACAAACAGATGCAGAGTATGGGACTCCCTGTCCGAGTTGCCCCTCTTCTCTAGCCTGATCACACACAATGAACCATATGAACACTCACATGGGCCACCCTTCTCCCGTGGACACTGTGAACAGTGTCAGTAGAGCCCAGAGCACATTGTCATAGTGAAAATCGTATTTCTTCCACTGCCGTGGTTGAGCTTCCACTTCCTCCTTCTCATAATCCAAATACTGACCCCTGGAGATGAGAATGTAGAGGAGGTTAGAGGATAAAGACCAAGTATCCAAATAAACCCATTTGTCTACGGCCAACTGATTTTTGAAAGGGCTGCCCACCCAATGGAGGGAAACACCATCAACAGATGGTGCTGGGACAACTGGGTATCCACTTGCAAAAGAAGGAAGTTGGACCCCTACCTCACTCCATGTCCAAAATCCAACTCAAAAAGGATCAAAGACCTAAAGGTAAGAGCTAACGCTAGAAAACTGTTAGAAGAAAACACAAGGGGGTGTAAGATTTGGGAAGGGATTGCTAGATATGATACCAAAATCAGGAGCAATAAAAGAAAAAAGTAGATAAATTGGACCTCATCAAAATGTAAAGCTTTTGTGCTTGAAAGACATCATCAACACACAGAATGGGACCAAATATTTGAACATCCTCTCTCTGACAGGACCTGAATCTAGAATATATAAAGAACTATTATAATCAATTACAAAAAAGACAAATAACCCAATTAAAAAATGGATAAAGATCTGAATAGACATTTCTCCAAAGGAGATATACAAATGGCCAATAAGCACATGAAAAGATGTTCAACATGATGAGTCATCAGGGAAATGCAAATGAAAACTGAATTGAGATATCACTTTATACCCACTGGATGGCTATAATTAAATTTTTAAAAAGGAAAATAACAAGTGTTGGCAAGGATATGGAGAAATCAGAACTCTCCCACACTGCTGGTAGGAATATAAAATGGGTCAGTCATACTGGAAGTCTGTCAGTCCCTGAAACTGGTAAACAGATTTACCACATGACCTATCAATTCCACTGCTAAGTATACACTCAAAAGAAATGAGGGGCGCCTGGGTGGCGCAGTCGGTTGGGCGTCCGACTTCAGCCAGGTCACGATCTCGCGGTCCGGGAGTTCGAGCCCCGCGTCGGGCTCTGGGCTGATGGCTCGGAGCCTGGAGCCTGTTTCCGATTCTGTGTCTCCCTCTCTCTCTCTGCCCCTCCCCCGTTCATGCTCTGTCTCTCTCTGTCCCAAAAATAAATAAACGTTGAAAAAAAAAATTAAAAAAAGAAATGAGACGCGCCTGGGTGGCTCAGTCAGTTGAGTGGCAGACGTCGTCTCAGGTCATGATCTCATGGTTTGTGGGTTCGAGCCCCACATCGGGCTCTATGCTGACAGCTCAGAGCCTGGAGCCTGCTTTGGATTCTGTGTCTCCCTCTCTCTCTGCTCCTCCCCTGCTCACACTGTGTGTGTCTCTCTCTCAAAAATAAATAAACGTTAAAAGATAAATAAATAAAACATCTGTCCACACAAAAACTTTGTACACATGTTCACAGAAGCATTAATGACAATAGCCAAAAGATGGAAACACCCAAATGTCCATCAACAGATGAATGAATAAATAAAATGCGGCATATCTATCTGCAGAGCGGAATCAGATCCAACCACAAGAGGGAGTGAAGTTCTGACACACACTACAGCACGGGTGACCTCAAAAACATGATGGTAAAGGGAAGAGATGAGACACCAAAGACCACATATTTATGATTCCATTTACATGAAACATCCAGAACATGGAAAACTAAAGAGGAAAAAAATAGATCCATGGTTGCTTAGGGTTGGAGATGGGGAGCTAGTGGGTAGTAAAGGGTACGGGTTTTTTGTGTTTTTTTTTTTTTTAACTTACGAAAGTGTTCTAAAATTGACTATGGTGGTGGTTGCAAACATCTGTGAATACACTAAAAGTCACTGAGTTGTTCACTTTCAATGGATGCTTCGTAAGAATTGTTATCTCAGTAAAAACAAAGGATATCACTGAATGGGGAAAGGATGGTCTTTTTCAGGTAAATAGTGCTGGGTCAACTGGATATCCATCTACAGAAAAATTTATTTTTATCCATACCTCACCTAACACACAAAGTCAACTCCAGATAGATCACAGATCTCAATGTCAAACGCGAAACTAAAACTTTTAGAGGAAAACATAACAGGGCATTTCCCTGACCTTTGTATAGATTTTCTGAAAAGGATACAAAGAGTACTAAACATAAGAGAGATAAATTGGACTATATTACAATCAAGATTTTTATTTTACTTTTTTATTTTTATTTTACTTTTTAATTTTCAAATGTTTATTTCTTTTGAGAGAGAGAGCACGCGTGCATGCACACACATGTGTGAGTGGGGCAGGGGCAAAGAGAGAGGGAGAGAGAATCCCAGGCAGGCTCTGCACTGTCAGCATACAGCCTGAGGGCTGTACAGCATACAGCAGGGCGCGACCCCGCGAACCGTGAGATCGTGACCTGAGCCGAAATCAAATCGGACACTTAACTAACTGAGCCACCCAGGCGTCTCTAAGACCTTGAAGACATAATCCGTAGATCTGGCAATGGATGCCTATCCAGGACTTCACAGAATTCCTACAAATCAATCAGAAAGTGAAAGACCTCCATACGGGAAAACAGGCAAGGGCTTGCATAGACCCTTTCCAGGGATACTGGAGTGGTCAATCACCTGGTGAGGCACCCAGCCCAAATTAAACCACAGAGAAATGCCACCAGCCCAACATGAGAAAGGCTACAGATCCAAAGATGCAACACACCAAGAACCCCCTGGTGCACAGTACTGGAGTTCTCAGCCACGTGGCAGGAGTGCGATTTTACACACCTATCTGGCAGCACCGGCAGAAGCCGAACGCAAGCACAGTGCACGACCCTGCAGTCTCACTCTCAGGTGTGCACACCTCCTAGAACTGCAAGTGTGTGCTTCCCAGCAGACACATACTGGGACAATCACAACAGCACTCCGCACAAGAGCCTCAGAATGGAAATACCCCCCATGCCCATCAGTCACAGAGTGGGTAAATTCGTGGTGGTGTATTTACACGAGAGAATATTACATGAACAGAGGCAGCTGGGGCCATTGCCTGTGGCTGGAGAAGCAGCCGCCCACACCACCTTGCTCAGCACCCGCCTCCATTTCCGCTAGTTCCTCCCTGAGGGCATCTCTCCTGTTTGCTCTGGGGTGGGGCCGGGTCCAGAGAGGCCTGAGGCCTCGCAGTGATGGTGAAAGCAGCTCCAGGCATAGGGCAGCCCCTCTGATCCTAGAGTCTAGCCTAGAGCTCCAAGATTTGCAGAGCCCTCAAGCAACACCCCAGTGACCACCCCCCCCCCACCATGTGCTCCCTGATGTCTATGGGCAGGAAGAGCGTGTCCCTCAGAAGTGCCTGGTCCCCAGCTCTGCTGAGGAAAATGAGCCAGAAGTCCCAGTGTGACCCTGGGGAAAGAGGCACACCCCCAGCTCTCTGGTGGACCCCAAGCAGGCTCCTCCCAGAGCCCTCACTGGACTCCCCACTCCCAGCCCTGCCTGACTTACCGGCAGTCCCTCTCCAGCCCCTTGGACTCATCCGTGCAGTAGAAAAACTTCCCTTTGAAGAGCTGCACCGCAATGACAGCAAATATGAACATGAAGAGCATATAGACAACCAGGATGTTAAGGACGTTCTTCAGGGAGTTCACCACACAGTCAAACACGGCCTGGAGGGGAAGAGAGCTCAACTCAGAACCTCCGGGCCTCCCCGTATCCGAGGACCGTCGAGGCCATAATCATGGAGGGAACTGCTGCCCACTGACTTAACACAGGAAGCTGCCTGCCACCGCCTCTCCCAGGACGGGATGAGCGGGCAGGAGGTGCTAGAGGAGGTGGCCTGGGCGGACGGGCTGGACCCTGACGGGAAGCTGGTGGTGGAAGCCTGGGTCAGGCTACGTAAATGAGGACAACCTGGGGCCCAGGCCAGCGTGTGCCAGGGGTGGCTGACAGGGAGGGAAAGGAGTGTGGACGGGGATGTGGCCAGACCCTGCTCCTGCACCCCGGCCTGCCGGCGGGTCATACTTTGCCCACGGGTGGGAGCCAAAATGGGGCAGAGAGGCAACAACGCTGTGGCCAGCTCCAAGACAGAGACTTCTGGCGTGTTTTGCTATGGCCCAGAGGTGACTCCGTCATCTGTTACTGCCACCGCCAGAGCTTTTTCTCAGACTCTTCCCCACCCAGAAGCTCGGCTTTCCCTGAATGCCCAGTTCTGCTGACCCTGGCCCTGCTCCCTATTTCTCAGAGCTGAGGAGACTCCCCCCATCCTGCTCCAGCTGTGCAAAAAGGCAGACCCACAACCATCCCTCAAGACACTGCCCGGCACAGTCCAGACACCAGCAGCTGCCTCAGCAAACGCAGCCACCGCCCACTTCCATGGTGCCCATGACACCCCTGACCCCCCCCCCCCAGGCCGGGTCCAGGTCCCTGCTTGACACAGAGGGCCTCTGGCCGCCTTCAAGCCACCCCCCGCCCCAGTCCACCCCTTCACAAGCAAACTGCCTTCTGCAACCCCCACACTGCTTCGGGCCTGCAAGGGTCACATCCGCACGCTGCTCACAACACTGTACTACACAGTTTTGTGGGATTAAATGAGTTTAAGCATCCAAAGCATTCTTCACAGTGAGGAAGCAGCTCAGCGACTATCATACTTTAACACAACCCCCCAGGTGTTCGGGTCCATACTCTTTCCTTTATCCGGAACCTCAGCCACACCCATCCTCAGGGCCACGCCCAGTAACCATTTCTCAAGAGCCCCTACCTCCCTGCATGTCCCCCGGGACCCTCCGCTTCTCTCGGCAGCCCCTTCTTCCCTGTACCGTGTCTGCTGCCGGCTTGAGGAAGAAGAGCCTCACAGAACACTACTGACACTAAGCGTTCCTTGCGGGGCAGTCGCGGAACTGAGAGAGCCTGACCCGCTCACACAACGCACCATCTGAGAACACAAGTAGGGGCCCTCCCTCAGCGCTCTCATCCCACCCCACGTGGAAGCTGCAGCCACACAGGGTTACTTCTACGTGCACACGTGCACTCACACATTCATGTGCATACCACACACATGCGTGTGCATACCCGCATGCAGTGCAACCTTGTACACACAACACACACATGCACTCACATCTATGCACCCACGTGCACACACTCACAAGCATAACTACATGTACCTATGTGCACAGTACCCATACACGTACGTCTAGACCTACACTCACATGTACGTGCACATCCACACACACGTGTATACACAGCCCTGCACACTCCTCAAGCCCCAAATCCACACTCTCACCTTAAGCTTCGGCAGCCGTTTTATGGTCTTGAGGGGCCGCAGGACGCGCAGGACTCTCAGGGACTTGATGGTGTTGATGTCTTTCCCTTTGGATCCTCTAGAAGGGAGAAGCCACACATGCAGACAGGCAGGATGCACGCTCATGCTCAGATTCCACAAAGCCTACCGGGGTCTGGGTTAGGCTCTCCTGAGCATTTTGCCTTAGGCCCCAGGGCAAACACTCAGGAACAGCGAGGCCTCTGCATCTCCTCCTACAGGTTGCATGGCAAAGCCCTCATCTGAGCAGATGAGGGCCAGGGCTGGGTCAGCAGTAACTGGTGTAAGGGAATGCTGGGTTTCCAGCAGGAAAGAAGCCATTCTCCCACACCACGTCGGCCACTTCTACCCCAGCACTCCCCTAAACCAGCTTCCTCTGGCCACCATGCTAAGACCGGCAATGGAAATAAAGAGGACAGAAGGGGGCTGGCCCCAGGACTGCAGACCTAGCCTGGGCCAGCCCATGGAAACCTACAAGCCATTAGTGCGAGAGCCTTCTGGAAGGGCTGGTTTCTCTTGCTCTCCAGCCCTGGTATAGGGAGGTAGGGAGGAACATGTCTGGATCTCCCTGACTGTACTCGCTCAGCTGCCCCCACACTCCTCCGGATGAGGTAAAACCGACAGAAAGGGGAGAGGAGAGGGAGGACAGGCGTGCTGGGAGGGGAGGAGGGGAGCAAAGTAAGAAAAAGAAAACGTTAGATGAATACAAAGGTGATGCAAGGGACAATGCAATGCAAGGGGTGGACAAAGAAAGAAAGAAATACTAAAGGGAAGAGAAAGAAACAGAGAGGGAGGGAGGGAGAAAAAGCCACAGAGACAAAGGGAGCAGCAGACCAGAAAACCAAGATTGAGGGAGTGGGGCAGTGGGGTGGGGGGGGCGGGGGGGGGGTAAGACAGGAAGTCAGGAAAAAATTCCAGGCACCAGATGCAAGCTTGGAAATCCAGGACCTGTGAGTCCTGATCAGGCAGCCCTCACAGGAAGCCAGAGCAGACCCAGGTGGCTCTCTCAGGCTGCCAGGGCCCCAGGAAATGTCAGACTCTGGGGGCTGGCCCTCCTACCAATCAAAAGCCAGGGCTGGTGGGCAGGGTGGGGGGAGCGTCCCAAGTGGCCTTCACAGACTTCCTAAGGAAGCAATTCTTAGAAGCAAGGCCACACTCCATGCTCAGCAGTGGCTGAGGACTCAGGGCTGGGGGCCCTATTCCATCCTGTTCAGAGGCCACTTCTCTCCAAGCTCCCAAGGAGCCTGCACATGAAGAGAGGGGGCAGGGCCACCAGTGGTCTTCTCTGGACTCCAGCCAAGCTCTAGGGAAAGTGAGCTATGAGGCCCAGGCAGGATCTGTGGGTTGAGGAGAGCTGGAGAGCCCCAGCCCCCTATCTCTCTCCAGACCCAGCTAGGGCCTACAGTCCAGAACCAGATCAAACTCTCTCTGAAACACCAAGCTTCCAGATGGGAAAAACTCAGCCTCCAGACCACCACGTCGGGTATTTCTACACCCCAGCATTCCTGACACCCAATCCCAAACGAGGTTCCTCCAGCAGCCCTGCTAAGACCAGCACAGAGAGAACAAGAGGCAGGGTGGGTGGGTGGACACCTGAGGGAGGCAGAAGGGAGGGACACCTGCTTTGGTTTTCTGGGGGGAGGGCTCTCTGCAGGGGCGGCCCTCGGGTGTTCTGTGTTCTGTTTCTCTCCTGCCCACTCAGAGCCTTTGTCTTGCTGAGGCCACCAAGCTGGATTGTACCCCTTCCCCTGTGTCACTCCCAAGCCCCTCACTGACACTTTATATACAAAGAAAGTCGGTTAAGACCCCCACAGAGGCAGTTGTGGAGAACAGAGAGGAAAGAAAGCCCCGTTTCTGGAGAAGAGACGTGGGAAGGGATTTCAGGATGCCCAACATCCTGGCAGCCATGTTTGCAGCGGCTCCCCCCTGAGCCCTCACTGCCCTCAGGGCCCATGTCCCCAGCCCTCCAGCACTCACTTGGGGCACACCTCCCCACCAAGGACTGGCCATGCCAAGCCCCAGTCCCAGCCCCAGCCCCAGCTTCCAGCCCAGCCCCTGGAGGTGAGGCAGGAACATGTGGCATGGGGACATGGCTCCTGGCAGCATGCATCCTGGACAGTGGAGGAGGATGAGCAGAGGTGAGGCATGGTGGTGAACCGGCCCACAAGGGGCCATGCTGTGCTATGATGTGGGGCAGTACGGGGCAGAGGGAAGGCATTACCCCATGAAGCTCCTACCGAGAGTCCAGCAAGAAGAGACAAAGAGAAGAGAGTCAGTGAGGAGGCCTCGCCCTCCCCAAGGGCTCAGAGAAGATGAAGACACCATCCCTCGGTGTCTGCATCACTGGGGGTCTTCCTAATCTCTGGATCTCCTCCACAGCTCCACCCAAGCCCCCCATATCTATCCCATGCCCATCACCATGCAGGATCTGAGCCAATCCAGGCCCAGCCACAATAGGGCTGAGTGTTGCCCGCTATGGAGTCAGAGAAAATGGTCTAACGCTCCAACGGGGGGAAGACACCCACCAGCACCACCGCCCAGCTCTGGCTGAACAAGTGGTGCAGCTAAGGTCAGGGCAGGTAGTTGCTCTGAAGGACCCGACAGGCAGGCACCGAATAACCCAGAGGACTGCCTACACAATCTCAGAACCACAAGCTGTGGTAGGTCCAAGTGGGCCTTGAGATCTTCTTAACCCCACACAAGCCCAGCCCCAAGTAGACAGGAGCTACAGACAGCCCACGCAGGCCAATGGGGCCCTTCCTTCCCTTATTCCCATACTCATTACAGCTCTGGGGACTGCAGCCCAGCCAGACCCAGAGGAGACACAGTACTTACGAGAAGGCAAATGCCACCAAGGCCCCACTGACCACGATGAAGTCCAGAATATTCCACAGGTCCCGGAAGTAGGCCCCAGGGTGCAGCAGCAGTCCCAAATCAATCATCTTCAGAGAAGAAACACGTATTAGGTGTACAATCTTTCAGAAAGAAAACCAGGGCCAGGCCGCAGAGTCATGGATTTGGGGAAAAGATGCTACTCAGGTCACACCCTCTGAGGCCCTCAGGGGGCCTTTCAACCTCAGTGCCATTGACCCAAATATCCCTCATTGGTAATGACTGGCTGAGATCTTGCCTGGGCCCCCAATCCCCTTGGAGCCTAAAAATGAGACGCCTTCCCCCATCACTGGGCTGCAGGAATGCACAGCCCCAGGGAGCTCATGCCCCAACCCAGACCCTCAGAGGGTCAGCTCTCTGCAGCAGGAGAAAGGGCTTTGGGGGTTCACACGGACCTGGTGCTGCCACTCCTAAAGCTGTGATTTCCAGCAAGCACCTTAATATCTCTAAACCTCAGCTTCCGTGTCTATAAAATGGGATGACAAAAAAAAAAAAAATGCTTCCCCCCCCCCACCAGGAGTTTATAAGAGGAAATGAAGAAGCAGGCGTGATATGCAGATGCACACACACGAAGTACCCAAGTCACAGGCACACCCGAAGCTGCACTGTAGTCAAAGACTGCATGCGTGTGTGTGTGCGTGCAACACAGCTGAACACAGTGTGTGCAAACACATGCACCACCACCTGTCAGACACCGAAAAGGGAGCAGTGCCTGCCAATACTGAGAGACAGAAGCAATCACAATGAAATGGTCAGTCCTTAACCGAACATCAAACACTTGAGCTCTTTTATTTCATTCATTCATTTGTTTATTTTTTGAGAGACAACATGCGCATGCTCAGGCAAGCAGGGCAGGAGCACAGGAAGAGGGAGAGAGAATCTTACGGATGGAGACGTGGGGCTCCATCTCATGACCATGAGATCATGACCTGAACTGAATCGTGTGTCGGACGCTTAACGGACTGAGCCACCCAGACGCCCCTGGAATTCTTTTACACAAGTCTTCAGTACCCACTCACCATGATGTTTGGGTGTTGAGGCCTCCACCCTCTCCTCAAGCTCCCCTTCTTCCCAGGCTGATGTCATGGGCCCTCCTCCTCTATCATGAGACAACCCCGAGGGTGGGGCTGAGCCCATACCTGCACATTCACGGAAGCCTGTAGCCCTTGCTTAGCAGTGAGGTAGACACAGGAATGATGCTGGTGAGCTCTCCCCAAACTGGGATAATGCTGTGGTGAATCTTTCATGAACTGGCCTCTGCCTCCACAACACCCATCACCACACACCTGTGCGTGCACTCTCTCACTGAGCACGCACCCAGGGCACACCCACCACAAGCCCTCGACAGCGGCTACAGGGGCCCTGTGGCATCTCAGTCATGAGGGAGGATGAGCAAAGCCCTGGGGCCACCAGGGCAACTACATATCTCACCTTTATCACCATCTCAAAGGTAAAGACGCCTGTGAAAATGTAGTCCATGTATTTCAGAGCCTGGAACCAACAGGAAGGTTATTGTCAAAGGCTAGGCTGAAAGCTTGAGCCAAGACTATTTCAGTGGGAACACGTTTTCCCTCCAGGCCTCTGAGCAGACAACTCCTTGGCCAGGGGTCCTGCGGGCCACTGTCGTGGGTGGAGCCCCCTTTGGCAGCGGCACTGGCCCTGGGCATATCCTCACTATTCTTGTCTATAACTTGGGGCTGGGCCAGGAGGTGCCCCCAGACCCTCACCCCACACCCCTAGAGGGAGCAGACAGGACCCTGACACCTCCCAGCCCCTTCACAGCCTGAATGAGGTGCTCACGTTGTTCCTGGGCGAGTCTGTCCGCACAGGATCCTCGGCTGCCAGGGCAATGCTGCTCAGGGCGATGACCACAAGAATGACCATCTCAAAGTACCGCATGGTCACGATGTAATGGCAGAAGCGGCGGAGCCTGTGGGGCAAAGCACAAGTCGCCAGAGGCCCACAGACGGGCCCGGCTGGCCCCCCCCCCCCCCCCCCCCCCCCCCCGCCCCCTGCACCAGAGCACGTGCTTGGTCTCTCCCTGAAAGAAGGTGTTACACCAGAACCGAGCTCTACTAAGTATCTCTGTGTTGGGAGACAGCAGCCAGGTGACTGATGGTGACTCAGACTCTTGAGAGGGTGTCCCAGGAAGAGCGGTAGGAAGGCAGGGGCCAGCCAACTACAGCTCACAAGCCCCGTTTGTGTCCATAAAGTTCTATGAGAGCACGGCCACGCCTACGCGTTTACCTCTATGTGTGGACAGCCGTGCCCTGTACAGATTTACAGCCCTAGTGTACCTGGCGTGGAGGGGCTGCTCAGAGAGGTGGCTGAGGACCAGCACTCCTGTGGAGAGTAGGCCTCTCTGGAGAGCCCAGGAAGCTTCTCTAGGTCCATATTGGTCCGTGCTTGTCTGAGCCCCCAGAGCTGCGTGTGCACACCTGTACTTCAGTCCCTGTCCACCTTCAGCACTAGTCAGCATCACTGACCACTATTCTGCTGTGTGGAGGCACATGCCAGACAGCAGAGTGCGGTAGCAAACAAGGGCACCACAGAACAGTGTAGACCTAACCTAAAGGGAGACTCTCAGATGCTGACAGGTGCTAGAACACAGCAGCAGATGGTGACCCGGGAGGTCTGGGAAGACCTCTAAGAGGGCAGTGAAGGTGACAAGGAGGAGAAGCCACAGAACCACTGTACAGGGCAGACGTGTGTCCCCACCTCTGGGTCCTACCCCTCCCTCCTGCCACCACTTCCCTATTCCCAGGGCCTGAGGTCTGAGAGGACCTCCCACCTCCCAGCCACACCCACCCACTTCTCTCTGCCTTGAAGGGCCCTACTATGCTCTTCTCCTCACCACGACCACTGCCACACTCCACACCCACACCCACCAGAGCCGCCCTACCCGTGTCCATGCCTCCTTCTGTACGGACACACCTGTCCTCCCAGCTCCAGGATACTCCGTCTCTGCCTCTTTCCTTCTGCATCTCAGGACTGAGTATCCACCTTGACCTCCATCCCTAGCGTCTGCTCCTGAGCCCACCTGGCCCTGAGACGTCCGCCGGCCGCCCCGGCTCTGCAGGCTCTGCACTCGCCTGCCCAGCTTGGTGGGACCCCAGCCATGAGGCAGAAACTCTGGGTGTCATCCCTCCCATCTCCTTCCCTTTCCACATCTAGTTTATCATCAAGTTCCATAGATTCTGTCTCCAAAGTTTCTCCCCAAGCATTTCACTCCCAAACCTCCCCTTATGACATCAGATCTCCTCCGTCTCTTCCTGAAAACCCTGGCCACCCTACTAAGGGCCATCCAAGGACTCTGCTGACATGCAGCCTGTGTTGCTGTTGACCGCCAGCTGCCTACAACCTTTCCGTGCTCCTTAGTGCTCTGAGTGCAGATCACGGCCTCTCCATAGGACTCTGGTCTCTGTGCTCCACTCAGTTCTGTCTTTAGCTGTTCTGCACCTGACACCCTCACTTCTGGACCACTGTGATCTCTCTTCTCTCCACAAGGAATGTTTGTTCATCTCTCTTCACCTTAGCTCTCATCCACCCTCAGGATTCAACTGAGATCCCTTGCCTCCCCCAGGAAGGCTCCCCAACCTTCCCCAGCTGCTCCCAGATGTCGCCTGCTCCCTCCCGCACCGCACGGCAGTGCTCACAGGCAGGTCCACACTCCCTAACGGAGCAGAGGAAGCTCCCAGAAAATGTGTGTTGAGTGAAGGCATGGAGAGAGGAAGGAAGGATGGACAATGGAGGCCGGATGGAGAGACTGCAGGCCGGAGGGGTGGGGACAGAGGATAAAGCCCGATTCAACCAGATCTGGCTGCCTTCTGGCCTCCCTGCTCCAACACACTGGCCTTTAAGTGCTTCCACTTTCACTCTGTCTGTCACCTCTGCCAGGGATGGTCTCCCTCCCCCTCCTCACCATTCTCACCTCCCAGCGAGACCCAACATGACATTCCCACCTTCACTTAGCTTATTCAGGACAGGGATCCTTGTTTGTTCTGCTCATTACCATGTATTCCCAGCACCTAGAATGCTGTTAGTACGTAAGTACTGGTTGACCTAATGCAGCAAGTTGGGCTGATGAGTGGATGAGAAACGCGCTGACTTCGTGATAAACAGAGAGGCGCGAAACGGGCAGACCTGTGAGTGAATGTGGTGTGCACACACATGCATGTGTGGACGGCGGGCGTGATGGAAAGGTGGACAAATGGAAGCGCGCGTACACGATGGACATGAATTGGGTGCACGTGCGCAGCAACAAACGCTCGCTGCAGCAGGGGTTTAACAGCAAGGCTCTGGGACTGACTGACTGGGTTCAAACCCCAGCTCTACCATTTGGGCTGACTGGCCATGTGTCTGTGGACAAGCCATGGACCTTTTCTGTGGCTACCTGTTCTCCCCTGTAGGGTGAGGTAACAGAAGTATGTCCTTGTGGATTGCCGTGATGCTCAGAACATTAGAACATGTAAAGTGCACAGAATCAGTGCCTGCCAGGTCACGTCAGCACACCCTGCTACTGTGCACTTGGATCATGGCCACAGGCATGGGACAGGCACACAGCATGGGCAGGTGAAGGAGACTCACAGGTTGGTGGGACTTAAGCAGAACATGGAGCTGTACGGGACGATAGGTCGGGGGCCACTCCTCATCACGTCATCGGCTTCTACCTCCTTCTTCCCTTCAGCTTGGCTTTCCAGGTCCACATTACCACCTACAAGGACACAGAGCCACCAAGTTAGACGTGTGGTGCGTGTGAAGCCCACATCACAGAGGTCTCACCCAGGCAACAGATGCTGTCCCATCACCAACCATACAGGTCTTCAGGAACCCAGCCAGGGAAGGGCATGTGGCTAAGAACACAGCTTCACCTGAGACTCCCTCCAATCACAGATCACGACTGAGGACTGAGACAGCACTGGAGACCTCACTTCTCAGCTGTAGCAGGGAGTTGTATGGGTACTGGGAGCAGCACCAAGCACTGTGCCCTTGGCTATGGACACCTCTGCCTCCACTGGGGGCCATTGGTCTAGATGTTCTACGAACACCAAAGTCCATCTCGGCCCCAGAGACCAGGGCCAGTAGGCTCCCCTCCCTGGTTCTGAGCTCAGTGCCTCCTTGAGGAAAGGTGAGAATGCCCCACTGCTTCTGCAGGGGTCTTGGGCCAGCAGGACAGGGAGGAGCCCTGGACATGGATGCCCTCCTGAACATGGTGGTCCAGCCAGACCCTGCCAGGGATTCTCCCCTTCAGAACCCCGGCAAATGTCCACAGAGCCAGGACAGTGACCCAGGGAGGACTTCAGCACAGCCCACATCTCGCATGGGCTCTGCTCCTCACTTCTCACACCCCTGTCTCTCAGCCCCACTAATCAAACTACCCGGGGTTAAAATGGCCATGACCTTGTTCTCGTTAAGTTGATTTTGTTGTCTGTGCACAGTGTTTTTCTCACAGTGACATTTCTCACAGTAACTTTCAGCTATCCTGAAGTATGTTTCTGTTCTCGTGGGTAACAGAGTTCCTGAGACCCCAGGGGGGAGGGCAGTGCAGTGACCTGGAGCCAGTGCCTACTGGTGTACCTCAATTTTACCTCTTACAAGACACATAAAAGCAGAGGTTGTTAAAGGGTAGCAAAAATAAGCGTGGTTATCCCCAGAGCCTGACTAGTCCTGCAGAGGACAGCTGGGCCAGATGTGGAAGAGCCCAGGCAGCAGCGATCCATCCACCAAACTCCCTGCTGACGGCATAATTATACGATCTTCTCAGAAAGCAATTTGGCAATGCAGTCCTAACAAATTCTGTTTACTGATTTAATCTGTAAGACATTATCTTCCAAGGAAATCAAGCATGTTCTGTATTCACAAAGGTGTCTGTTAAGTTCTTCTACAACAACAAAAGAAATTATTAAACGTACAGCCATAGGAGAAAGACTAAGTATCTGAATCATTACACTAGAGATAGTAAAAATGTCTACAAATAGTTTCCATGACAAAAGAAGCTTAGGATATCATAAGCTAAAAAAAAAAAAAAGACTACTCAACATGGATGGAACTGGAGAGTGTTATGCTAAGTGAGGTAAGTCAGGCAGAGAAAGACAGATACCGTATGTTTTCACTCCTATGTGGATCCCGAGAAACTTAACAGAAGACCATGGGGGGAGGGGAAAGAAAGAAAAAAAAAAGTTAAGGAGAGAGCCAAAACATAAGAGATTCTTAAAAACTGAGAACAAACTGAGGGTTGAGGGGGGGTGGGAGGGAGGGGAGGGTGGGTGAGGGGTACTGAGGAGGGCACCTGTTGGGATGAGCACTGGGTGCTGTATGGAAACCAATTTGACAATAAATTCCATATTTAAAAAAAAAGGCTACATATATGTATATCCCAGATGTACTCAACTCCAAAAAAATCATATATATGGAAAGAGAAATAACACCAAAATAATAATAATAATAATAATAATAATAATAATAATGGTGATCTCTGAATGGTAATAGGAATTTTAATTCTCTTCACTATACTTTTAACAATTAAAAATTTTTTCCATGATGTGCATAGATTACTTTTAAATTAAGAAAACATATACAATTTTTTTTTCAACGTTTATTTATTTTTGGGACAGAGAGAGACAGAGCATGAACGGGGAGGGGCAGAGAGAGAGGGAGACACAGAATCGGAAACAGGCTCCAGGCTCTGAGCCATCAGCCCAGAGCCTGACGCAGGGCTCGAACTCACGGACCACGAGATCGTGACCTGGCTGAAGTCGGACACTTAACCGACGGCGCCACCCAGGCGCCCAAGAAAACATACACAATTTTAAAACCACAGCATTTCAGACTCTTCCATGGTTAACAGTAAGGCGGGACCAATATGGACTCAATGAAGAATTCTGCTGCTCAAAAGAAGAACAAAGATGCCAGGCCCTGGATGGAAATATTCCTGCTGAAACAGATTTACAGCAACAAAAGGCATCACTTAAGTCAAAGCAGACCAGGAAAAAAAGGAGAGGATCAAAACGAAACTGCTGAAGACTAAGTAAATTCATTGTTAGAAGCAGGTTATGAAAAACAACAACAACAACAACAAACTTGACAGTAACAAAAATTTAATCATGAAACAGGACACTTCATCAAACAAAATGGCCAGACACAGAGCAAAGGATAAAGAAAGGGAGAGAAATCTGCGAAAAACAACCATGTGCCGGCCATCGTCCAAGTGCTCTATGCCTCCTAACCGCACTCACTGCATATACCATCATCTCCATTTCCTTTCTTTGTTTTTTGTTTTTTGTTTTTTTTTATGTTCATTTCTTTACCTTGAGAGAGAGAGAGCAGGGGAGGGCCAGAAAGAGAAAGAAAATCCCAAGGAAACTCCACACTGCCAGCACAGAGCCCGACGCAGGGCCCAAACCCACAACAATGAGATCATGACCTGAGCCAAAACCAAGAGCTGCACACCTCACTGACTGAGCCATCCAGGCGCCCCTATCATCTCCATTTTCTAGATTATGAACTGAGACATTACCTAGTGGGGACATGGCCTATCAAGGCTGGGGTAAGAACTCTGAGCCCTGGGTCCCTACAAGGTAAGGACATGAGGGTTCATGCTGAACCGCTCCCCTCGAAGAGGGCTAAAGTGAGCCCAGACTGGTGGTGCCCTGAGCTTCTGGGAAATCAAATGTAATGACAAAAGCACCCCTCATCTGGCCCGGTGGATTGGGCAACCCTTCTCAACTTGAAGAGAATTTAAACCCTACAGACACCCATGCTATGGAAAGAATTTCTCTCCTATACATTCAGAATGGCACCAGCTACATACCACCCTTCGGAGAACTGAAAAAGTAGTCAATCAGTTCATTTTCTAGAGGGCTTCATTGTCTCACAAAACCCCAGCCAAGAAATGGTGGATGAAGGTCAGTCACATATGAACTCGAAATAAAAAATACCACCAAATGAGGGGTGCCTGGATGGCTCAGTTAGTTAAGCTTCCAACTCTTGATTTCAGCTCAGGTTATGATCTCACGGCTTGTGAATTCAAGCCCCCTGTCAGGCTCTTTGTTGACAGACAGCGTGGAGCCTGTTTGGGACTATCTGTCTCCCTCTCCTTCTGCCTCTCCCCCATTCATGCTCACTCACTCTCTCCCTCTCTCTGTCTCTGTTCTTCCCCCACTTGTGCTCTCTCACTCTCTCTCAAAATAAATAAATAAACCTAAAAAAAAAACAAACCACCAAACATACAAGGAAGCACGATCACCATGAAATGAAAGACAGCAGAAACAACAGATTCAAACCCTCCATAAACTACAGATACAAGAGTACTTTTAGAGATTTTATTTATTTACTTTTATTTATTTACTTTTGAGAGAGAAAGAGAGGGCACAAGTGAGCGAGGGACACAGAGGGAGAGAGAGAGAGAGAGAGAATCCCATGAGGGACAGAGAGAGGGAGAGAGAGAGAAGCGGGGCTCACCCGAAGCAGGGCTCAAGCTCACCCGACGCGGGGCTTGTGCTCACCCCATGCGGGGCTCAAACTCATGAACACAAGATCAGGACCTCAGCCAAAGCCAGATGCTTAACTGACTGAGCCACCCAGGTGGTCCCAGATACAAGAATTAGAAAACAAGTTTTAGATGAGAAATATAAAATAGCTAAATATAAATATGTAAAGAAATATAAAATGAATCTTAAATGAACAAACCATTAAAGTCTATAAAACTGATCCAGCATTTTCATGACCTGTGACAGAGAAATGTAAACGGACTCATCCTTCCACTGAAAACAACTATAAAAGCAGAACAAAATACATAATGTAACTGTTTAAAGGCACTGGGTACCAATCAATGTGGACAGAAGCCAAGAAGCTACACTCCTTGGGAGAAGGAAAGCACAGAGGTGACCCCATTTCCCCCCAAGCTTTTCCCCTTAGACCATGTTCCTACTTGCAGTGCAAGGAAATAAAAACCAAGCATAAAGCAACATTTACAATGGAGAAAGAGAAAAAGACTGAAGTTACAGATTAACAAAGTGGGAATGAAGGGCAAAATCCCAGGGTGAAGTGCAGGGCAGAAGGGAGTCACTCCACCAGCCCCAACTAATTACCCTTCCTTCCCTGTTGCACATGTGCAAAATGAGGCTGGTCTCCACTAGAAGCAAATGCTTTCAAGGAAGCTCAAAGGAGAGAGGAGGATTGAAGGTTTGATATTGGGGGTCAATGACAACAGAGATTTTACTTTGCTGTTACTTTTTATCGGGATTGTTCTTGTTTCTGTTGGTGTTCTAGTTTCAGAGTTGCACAGATCTTGAATCATTGCCCTTTACCTTCTCTTTTCTCTAAGGCCTATTATTTTCAGTACATGGCATTGTCAGAAATGAATATATCATGTTGTAGCAAGAATGTCTAGAGTTAAGGAAGACAGAAAATGGTGTTAATTAAAAACACAAGAAATAATAAATGTTGGGAAGGATGTACAGAGAAAGAAACCCTTGTGCACTGTTGGTGAGAATGCAAACTGGTATCGCCACTGTGGAAAACAGTATGGAGGTTTCTCAAAAAATAAAAACAGAATCACCACATAATCTTGTGATTCTACTACTGGGCATTTACCCAAAGAATACGAAAATATCAATCAAAAAGACATATGCACCACTATGGTTATTGCAGCATTATTTATAATAGACAAAAAAATGGAAGAAACCCAAGTGTCCATCGATAGATGAATGGATA